CAGCGTATTCATTTTAAATTCTACCACGGATATGGCAGCAAGATTCAGAAAACTGGTAAACACCGCCTGCATTAAATAATGCAAGGATTTTTCAGTTTGAGATAATCTTTGCATATTTTAGGACTTATGACTACGAATTATAGGTCGTTATAACGAGCTTTAAAGTCATTATGACGGGATAATAAGTCCTTATGACGAGATTATGACTCATTATTAAGAGATTATGTGTTGTTGTTTGTTTTGCATACGCAAATGTCCCTTCAGGAGCTTCGTATATTACAGCTGAAGTAAATTGTTATTTTAATTAACTATTTAAGGGGAAATCCCCATTTGTTATTCTGAAGCCGTTGTAAAAAAATGTGCATTGTGAAGAGTATAAGGCGAACAGCTGGTAATAATTTCTATTGGAAATGTTTTCAACAAATCATCATTATGATTATTGTTTAAAACAGTTTAGAAATCTTTAAAAGCAGCAATTTTCGAGTGCTTCAGTAATGTTTATTACCGTTGGAATTAAATAGGAATAGAGTTGTCGTTCGTATTTTAAGTAGTCCTGGTGTTCACACGCCAATATGAATCTCTTCGAGAGGGCGCGAGTCGGTATTCGACTTACTCCTGGAATAACATGAGTTGGTCACGAATGTTGGAAATCAATGGTTGTGACTTTGGAGAATGAGGAAGCGCGGGAATTGCAAGCTTTGGATATGACTCATAACTGGCATAACGTTAATAGAGTATGTTAACCCAAATCACTCACTTACTCTTATTAATGGTAAAATATATTGAACCTCCCTAAATATCACCACATGACGCAAATCGATCTGGGGTGATATCAGAATACTTATGTACATGAGACGTGTGGTTGTTTGTGGGTTCAGGGTAATTTATGTTCATATTCTTTTGTTGATAACGTTTGCGATTTGTGAATCTCTGCGAAAACATCTAAAATATGAAACAGGTGAGGCACCGGTTTACGGCCCAGTTCATTTCTGGTTCAAGTGGGTTAATCCTTTAAAGGGGACAATCAGTTCTCATATTTTTCTGATTTGGCCTTTGTATGCAGTAGGTTTTGTATCGTTGCTCATGTATCTGCATCAGATTCGATATATCCATATAGTGGTAGTGTTTATGTATCCTTGGTTTCCGGAAATATCAAAACAAAAGACATAATCCCTTCTCTATGTCATAATGTCTACATACAATTACTCAGTTCAAAGGTTACATCACTACAACTTAACGTTATTGTATTTCAGTGAAGCCTGACCTTTTGAACAGACTCCACAAGATAGGAGGTGTGACATTCACTTACGTCCTCTCTACCCCGAATGGTTAGGCTTCACCATGCCCATTTTCCTCTCAAGACCTAGATCCACAAAGATGCGTTTCGCTTAAAGCTTCTGAGAGGACTCTGTCGGATTTTCAGAGGCAGCTGCATGGGGCATTTTATGCAACGTTCGAGTTTGATTCAGAATCATCTGTTATCCTAACGTCTTGCCTTACCAAAGACGTTCTTAATGCAAAGAGCACAGAGGCCGACAACTGGAAGCTGAGGTACGAAGAAGTCTGTGTGAAAGAGTTCTTTAGTTCACTTAGCACTGGGCGAGTGGATATATCCCCTAAGGAAATTTGGAGAGACGTAGTTACAGCCATTGACGACCGGCAAATGTCTAACAGGGATGAAGCAGTTTTACACATTCATCCTGAGCGGGAGGCGCCTAGTTGTGGTCGGTCACAAGATCATCACAAGAACCTTTGATGCAAGTGCTGCACGCTATCAAAGAAAAAGCAACGGACGAATTACATATATAGGACAGAGCCTACCACGGTAGTCAAGACGGGTATTTTGTGGCAGTTGCGTTTACTGAAGAGAGTGGATTTTGAAAGGTTGATGTCCACAGAAATATCCAAATCTGAAAACAGAGTTGGTTTCCCAAGAGGCAATAATATTTTCAGGGGCTATGTGTGACGTGGATCCCGGCTTGTAAAGATCTGGAGGATACGATGCTTCCGTTCAGAGAGAAGCGTTTGTCGCTCTTGCCTGGAAGAGTTCAAACTTGTTCAGAAGAGATCCGTAACGGGAATATTATTGAGAAGAAGCTAAAATGCGTAAAAGGGATTTTTGAGACAAGGAAACGACGAGGTTAACGTGTACAGCCCGTCGAGGATGACTCGAGACGTATATCTGAAATGCTCACACATAGTCTGAAGAAGCGGGTCATAAATCTCATGACCCCGAATCTGTCCCATTGGTTGAATCTGCAAAATGGAAGAAGCTGTTGTGCCCTGACTGGACTGCACCGGGGACGTTTTGAGATCACTGTAGGACAAGACCAGATCTCATGTTGTCGTTGCTGCCACGGACGACGTTATTGAAGACGTGACAAAACACTTGGAAACGATCATCAAAAACAACTCTGTTATATGGGGACTCTATCCAGTTCAGCATCAGATACTATCGTTTCCTCGCTACGTATATGCGTAGTAACATGAACAATTTAGCCAGATCATATTCTGTAGACATTCAGGGAAGACTCACCAAGATATTTATTGAAAGGAACTAAAAATGGGGTGAAAAATGTCAAACAAAAGCTGAAAAGAAAACACTTTCCGAGGCGATGAGTGTACAAGTGTTACATGTTTAACAGACCAGAAATTGTCAAAATTACTTTTGTCCAGAGAAAGGAGGCGCGCAGATACAACGCATTGCTGACAATGAGAGGTGCGACATAGAGTACCAGGTGAAGCCCATGGACGTTTCGGTTATGACGAGATCTGTTCCTGGTATTGACGATCGCACACTGGTTCAAGCATTCACCACACCTGTATTACGCAGGACGAAGGTAAGCACATGAAGGTGTCGGGTTGTTGAATGAGTTACGAGTTACAAACTTCAGGTGATGAGGTGATGAAGTTGGGTTTAACGTCGTGCTTGAGAGTATATTTCGCTCATATGACGACGTGCATGCCTGTGTATGTCGTATGTGTGGCAGGCACTTAGAGACTGAAGCTGGTTTTATAGTGCTAGCCTACTGAGATACCATGCCGCAATGAAGCATGAATACCCCTCTCAGACACACATTATACTGACTCCAAGCCGACCAGCCCTTGTTGCACCCATTCATGCCGAGCGCCAGGCAGGGACCAACAAGTACCATATTTTGGTATGACGCGCGGTCAGGGATGGAACCCGCGACCTTCCGCTCTCCGGGCGGACGCTCTAACCACTACACCACGGAGGCGGTCCTATAAACTTCAGCATTACACGCAGTTTGATCCTCTGAGCGAGTGGGTGAAGTGGCAATATCACGGCGGAGGACGCCAAAAATGGGCTGCACACATTGTACCCATCGTATATAATCCGAACCCGGACATTCGGTGTGACGAGCGAACGCTTTAACCTCTGGAACTACCTCACCACCCTGTGATTGCGTTTGAACTTGACAAAAACATCTATGATAATTATTACAAAATACTTTCCTAACATGGATCTATTTAAATGGTCAAAACTATTATCAGGAATGAGATATTGAATAACAATTTACAACACCTTGTTCTCAAGCACAGCTGGAGAAGGGAGAACAAAACATTGAAACACGAATTCGGCCTGGCGAGGTGTGTAAGAACCACAATGCTATAAAGAACACATTCATATCAGTTATAACAGTTGTTTGAACATCTGGTGTCATCACTCTTTCAGGGATCAATTTGTGTGTTTTCCACCAATGCTTTGCGCTTTATGTCCAATGGAATCTATTTGGGCAGATTGATTATTCCCAGGTGTTCTACACGTAAACACCATAAATTACGTTCTGAATTGCAAGCATTCATCCCGCTATAATTTCTGTCGACAATAATAGTGTGTCTCAGTGTTATCTATATTTTGGAATGCACAACCTAAATGTATGATGTTACACTGTAGGACGTTCTCCAAGTGACAATGTACCTTCCGACGCGGGCGCTGAATCAAGTGCACCATTTGAAATAGTCATCATAGATGAAGATATTACGAAGCAACAGGTAACAAGTGTTCATGTGCATTATTTCTCGTATAAATGCAGTATGTGAAATAAGGCCCGTCCGACCGCCCCAGAAGGGCTAGGTTTCTGAAGAACGGTCTAAATTTACAGCTAGCCAGCCCGATGGCCTGGCAAAACATTCCATACATCTGAGTAAATTCACCATAACGTAGTGTTTGGTCTGGTTAAATCCATTTTTCGCTTATTTCATATACTGATATATGTAGAACATTCATTTGTGATAAACACCTTTCATTCTATTTTACAATAGACCGACGTCATAGTGAACAGCGCTCCATGGGATCTTCAACTTAGGAACGGTTCTGTGTCCAGCTCCATCCTTGAAGCTGGAGGAGAGGACATACAACAAGAATGTGACCCCAACGGAATTAAACCCGGAGAATTCGCCATCACTGGCGGGGGGAAAACTCAAGTGTAAGGACGTGTACCACGCCTGCCTCCCAACATGGAAGGAAGAAATGGAACGGGTATGCGAATAATGTAACTTATTAATAACGTATAGGTGCCTGGTGCCTTGGCTATTTATATTGTTACCTAAATACAAGTTACCTACATCTTACTGTATGTATTTCAATTAGTAGCGGGGCGGTGGGGTAGCCTAGTGGTTAAAGCGTAGGCTCGTCACGCCGAAGACCCGGGTTCGAATCCCCACATTGGTACAATGCGTGAAGCCCATTTCTGGTGTCCCCCGCCGTGATGTTGCTGGAATATTGCTAAAAGCGGCGTAAAACCAAACTCAGTCAGTCAGTCAATTAGTAGCATATATTCATACTGATCGAGTTCCAGGCAACGCATACATGTACACACACTCACTTCCAGGGGCGTAGCTACCATAAGAAAAAACAGCCCGGGCTTACACATGATTGTTGCTAAAAAGGCTTGACAAGCCCTCAATACTATCTAAATATGAAGCTTTGTAACCTATCGTGCGTACACGAAAAAAAATGGTGAATGTGAAATGTATGTATAGGTACACATCTTTAACATTTGATAAGTAAAATTCTTGGTTAGATTTCGAACCTGTGAACATATATCTGCTGATGCCGAAAGCGTATTCATTTATATAACGTCAGTGAAAACGAATATCCAGTTTTGACTATCCTCAAAAGTAGATTCCGTAAAGGGTAAAACAGCTGTTCAAAAATAAGAAGAATGGACCACCGGAAATCAGTGACTGTACCAGGTAGCCCTACAGAAACCATCCGCCATTCACACACTTTGGTTCCAAATGTAAGCATTTATAGCGAGACGCCACACGGCAGTGCTCCTGTCATGTGGTTGCAGTCTGTGAAGAAACCAGACAATCGAGTGATCGATGAACTAGAAAGTCTAGTTGTTGATTTTGAATTACAACTGCTGTGTAGAAGTTCAGTGATTCCGATGCTACCAGTAGAGAAAAACGTTGTGGAAACAGATTTGTCTTTACAGCATAGTCGAAGTCAGGACCAAACATTTCTTTTGACGTTGCCTCAGAGTACGTCGTGTTACCTTTGAGGTTCTCTGTAGTCCAGTTTTCGATATGACATATAATCTTTAACCACACTATTTATGATAGAAACACATCCAGATTGTTTTGTATTGCGCTGTCATGGTGTCACAGCAAAACACGATAGTGGGCATCTTATGAATGTATTCTAATGACGGCATAACCAATGGCGAGATATACACAGGACAAATCTTACGAACCGTTGCTATCATAAGTAGGATGCAAGTACGAAAAGAATATCTTACATCCCCTCTTTTTTATAAGCTCAAAACACTAACCAACAAAAGAAAATATTGTTATGTTATTGTCCATTCTGTTATGGATTAAAGCAGCTGACTATTAAACATTGTCATAAACAAATAAAAGTCATTTCAATGTTTCAATGATAAAACGTTCCTGCGGGTATACTGCTACAGTTTTGAGTCATTCAAAGTTTTAATGGCTTAAAGATTGCCCGACTTCTCGATGATGGGTAGGCAATTGGTTGTGGATGGTTCACTAGGACCACAGGCGTAACCTCAGACTGTGGAGATGTAGTCTCTACATGGGTTTTGCTCAGCTGGACTATTGTTGCCTTTAGAAGCCAGATGATCTCCTGGTACACTGGAGAGAATCTCATTCGTGGAGATGCAGAGTATGAACGAGGTGTGTTGGCGTAACCTGTCCCGACACCTGGTGTCAATCCTTTCCTTGTCTCACTCTCACACTGTCATGTCCATTTAGTGCAGCCCTTGGATGTGAACATCTGTCATAGTAATGCTTTTGACGCATTTTAGAATCCACCATTCCCTGTGCACACTTTCACAGCTGATGACCTTTGGTTTTAGTAAATCTGGATGACTGTTGGGCAGGAGATCCCATGTCACTAAATGGAGTGATTCGATATGAAGTAGAGACCAATAAGGATCATCGCCACTTAGCTTAGCTTTAAGCAGTAGTCGTTTCACGGTCTGTACAGATTTTTCAGCTAGACCATTTGCTTGAGGATACAAGAGTGAGGAGGTAATATGTACAAAGTCTCTGAATTCCACTGATGCATACTGCGGCCCATTATCACTTCCGCCTGGTACACCATGCCATGCAAACATCGACTTCATGTGAGTAATGACAGTCTTTGAATTTGTGTTTGACAGTAAAGCAATCTCTATATATCGACTGTAGTAATCAACTACCAGAAGATAGTCAAGTCCATTCAACTGGAACAAAACAGTTGCTACGAACTGCCATGGTAACTTAGGAATTTCACTGGGTATCATCGGTTCCTTGCACTGTTTCATCCTGTGCCACCATTCTCAACAGTTCTCTCAATGTCAGCTATCATACCTTGCACTCTCTCCTTGCACTTGACAATTCCCATATGGCCTGTATGTATCCTCTCTAACAGCTCCTTTCTCATGGAAATTGGAATGACAATTTTATCACCCTTGCAGATAATTCCATCCATACCTCAATTGCTTGATACTGCTTGGATAATCAAATTCTTACGCCATCCATTCATGATTATCTTCGCAAGCATCAAATGTTGACCATCCCCACTAATTTCTTTTCTTTTCTGATCTCTTACAGCTTCTTGTCAGATACTGGTAGGCTGCTTGTTACCATGTGCGCATATGACTCTTAATCAACAGACAGGTCGTCTTTGTTTGACGAAGATTCTGTGAAATGTCTGCTACAGGAACATTCTTCCAAGGTGTGAACTCTACATCTGCATCATTGATCTGAAATTTCATTCTCATGCGTTGAAGTCTCAGGGGAATATCATGTAATGGCTAGCATGGTGGCATGGTGTCACAACAAAACACGACAGCGGGCATCTCTTGAATGTATTCTACTTTGGTGGCATAACCACATGACGAGGTATACACACACTGCGCATGTGTGGTTCCAAAAACTTGTACAGATAAAATCTTACGAATTGTAGGATCCCAGTACGAAACGAATATCTTACCCAGATGGCCGGTACTAAAGTGCATGTATGTTACCCATGTTACGTACATTGGCGGGTGAGGGGGAGGGGGGGATATCAGACGTGGGTTTCTCAAGAAAGAGTCAACGGTTCTTACAAATGTCCTGATATTAGTTTTTTTTACCATTTGTGTTCTGGACTTCTTCATTTAGGTCCTTCGGAAAGTGATGTTAGACTGTCTCCAGAGAGCTTCCCAGGACGCACACAAGACCATTGCTTTTCCAGCTCTCGGTACTGGAAACCTGGGGTACCCAAAGGACGTAGTTGCCCAAACCATGATAGAAACTGCTCAACAGTTTCACCAAAACAACCCTGAATCTCCTCTTGAGAAAGTGAACATTGTGGTGCATAATGATGATGCTACGATATTTGAGGTACGTTTTCAAATCCCTGTGATACACTTTCTATCTGCCAATCACTAACTAAATCATTGTCGGTAAAGCGACCAAGAACATGGATACAGATATTTTTATTTTATTTTAGGTACACTAAGGATTGTAATGTTTGCTTTGCGTTATTTCAATACGATTATCTTCATTCACTTGTTACGCTACAAATTCGTTTGTTAAACTACAAACGTTTCAAACTCACTCAATATCACCGTGATTAATTATTGTAGTTTCCCCAAATTGTAAAGGAATCCTTTATGTGCCTCAGGCTTTCCAACGCGTGAAAGAAAAAACCGACGAAGAAATGAAGAGGAGAATCTCTTTCAACACCCGCAGAAACAACAGAGTCTTTGGTAAGAATCCGCCACCTTTACGTTTACATGCTTATGGGTTTAAACTGTATTGCTGACTTAAACGTCAGGGATGAATCTCCTTTTGTAAACTTTTAATGGAACCATCTTGATGATAGATGAAGGATCCTCATCTTGACGGATCAATTATAGTCTTGAGTAATGCTGAAACAAGTATGTTACGGAAGCGACAGTTAGTATGCATATTTAAAAATATTGTATGTCCAGAATGGAATTTTACCCAATCCTATCCTCCTCCAGATATTGATGCCATGGAAGGAGCTACAAGGGAGACAACTGGGTCACAGCCATCACAACTGGCAAGACAGGTTACTCTTCACGTGTCCTCCGATGACATCCGTCATGTGGAAACAGCTTCCAGACTGTTGGACACGTTTTGTAAAGAAGCTATTACAACACAATGTAATTCATATGACAGTTTGAAAACTATGAATCAACGACAGGTAGGGTATATAGATCATAATCTTAGATGTCCTGCAATATCGATTACTCTCTCTCTCTCTCTCTCTCTCTCTCTCTCTCTCTGTCTCTCTCTCTCTCTCTCTCTCTCTCTCGCTGCTTGGCCTGCAATCAGTATCTGCATTAAATTTTATGGCTATGGGGAGGGAGAGAAGGTCCGTTAGCATTAATATAATGAAAATTGTATACTGACTGAGTTTGATTTTACGCCGCTTTTAGCAATATTCCAGCAACATCGCGGCGGGCACCAGAAATTGGCCTCACACATTGTACCCATGTGGGGATTCGAACCCGGGTCTTCGGCGTGACGAGCCAACGCTTTAACCACTAGGCAACCTCACCGCCCGAAAATTGTATAACTGTATACTACATTGTAATCAACTCATCATACCGACACAGGGTCTCTATTAACTATGCAAGTAAGAAGATGTGTAATGGTCTTAAAACAACTTGATAATTCTCCTTCAGACTTCATTTCATTGAATATATTGATTTATTGATAATATTTGCCTTAAAATCATAACCTTTTTGTGACAGAATATCTTTGGCAACATGTTCAAAATTGTAAAAAGGTGAACTATCGCATAAGTTTCATCCAAATATATCCATCCCCCTACGGCTAACATCCATGACCTCAATTATCTGAAATTTGGTCAGAGTGGTCCATGCGTAATACCCGTGAAGGTCCGGGTTAGAATGAATCTTCAGTAACCCATGATTGTCGTAATAGGCGACACATCCGGAAGATCGGGTTCGTGTCATCAGGAAAGACTTAACAGAAGGTAAAGGGTTCGGGTGGTCAGGCTCGCTGACTTAGGTTGCCACATGTAATCGGTTCCCACTTGCGCAGATCGATGCTCATGCTGATGATCACTGGATTGTCTGGTCCAGACTCGATTTTTTACAGACCGCCGCCATATAGCTGGAATATTTCTGAGTGCGGCGTAAAACTAAACACACTCATTCACTACATATGAAGTGATTATTGTTCTTGTTACGGTGATTTTGAACGACTTTGACAACACTATTTGGATGTGCTCTGTAAATAACAGTATTGGTCATTAGTGAGTGAGTTAATACCTAACGTCAGATCGACAATGTTTCAGCCCGTCGTGACGAAATGGTCTTTACTGAAGCAATGATATTAAAAATAGTTTCTCTTGGAAACATTATACTGTTTCACTAAATATATGATTATGGCCTCAATATATACGAAACACTTCTTATATTAGCTTGGTTGTCTGTGTTCATTTTATCGGATCTGTTCTTTCCTTGCAGCAGGATAAAATTCGGAAACTGAGTTTAAAGCACTCAATTTCTGTTGACTTCGACCCCATGACTGGCGAAGTTAAACTAGAAGGTCTGAAATCGGACGTGATGGATGCCATGGTCTCAGTTCACACCACATGTAACGACATCCTTTTACAAAAACAACGGGATGAAAAGGCCAAACTCATCTCGTCCTACGTGAGGTGGGAATACACTCATGTGTCAGGCACAGGTGCGATTTCTCATTATGATAAATTCATCAACCAAAAGATTGAAAAAGCCTATATGGCCAAGAAGGATTTTCTCTACCTACCAGTCATCGATGGCAACGAGTATGTTCTTGATTTTAAGAAAATGGAAGAAATCGATCGGAATAATCAGGAAGATCGGGTTCGTGTCATCAGGAAAGATTTAACAGAAGGTAAAAGGTTTCAGTCATAATACATACATCAGGTTGGGAGTATTAATATAGAATGCCATTGCAAAAGACTACCCAGTCTTGACTCTTCTTCAGAAACAAATTCAAGTGCAAAATACAGAGTCGTGCAAAAAGTATTCGCCACTTGACGTAATTTACAAAGACTTACATGTTAATTTAGTGTAGCCTAAATAATTTTCATGAGTTTAATTTTCGTAAGATCTACGTCAAATTTTGCATATTTGTGAGGAATCATCTTACCTACAATCACACCATTTCTGTTTCCGTTGCTTATTTATCGAATGGCAACAATTAATCAACATATGTACAGTGTCTTGAACTCCTCTAACATGGCGGCCTAAGGGATTGCGCATTGTGGAACCATACGCAGGTTCATAAATGTGATGTCATTAGTTAAATAGTGGTCGGAAAATGAACTGAAATTACGTGTGCAGAGCAGAGATGATTTCAAATTTGCCTGTCAAATTTTACAAAGATCCATCCTGAACTCACTTCATGAAAATTATTTATGCTGCACTGAAATAAAACTTAAGCCTATGGAAATTACGTCATGTGTCCGAATACTTTTTGCAAGACTCTGTAGCTGTGGGAATCATATGAATGGACCAGTGAAAATCATTGGTGGCACCAGGTGGTCAGGCTGGCGACGTGGTAGATGTATTATTTGGTATTACTGTTGAGTAGACAGATGATCCTGGTGTCAGTCACAGGATTGTCTGGTATACACGCCATTAGCTGAAATACTGTGGGGTGTTAAACAACAAACAATTGCCAACTGATCACATTAATGTGTACTTTTCATGAATGTATTTGTTTCACGTTTGCCTTGTTTTTAATTCATGAGGCTGTTTCTAATTATAATGTGTGTGCAGATCCCATTATAGTTTGGCTGCTGGTTTAAGACTGAAGGCTCATTTGCACGGACGTTATATATGTTTTGCATGGGTTGGATGCATGTACCATCACTTAACAAGCATTTTCGTTTTGGCTTCACAGGGACAATATTTGAAACACCTTCGTACTGGTCTCCAGTGGACACAGAATGTGAAATGATTGAACTCAAGAAGAAAACGAGCGAATACAGGAAAGTTGAGGAGGCATTTTCAAACAGTGTCGGAAGACAAATAACAATCCTCAAGGTACTACATTTAATACAATGTACTTCACACATAGGGTGCCTTTCACTCTTAATACCATCCCTTTTCATTTGTCATCTAACCCCTCTTACCCCGAAGACTACAAAACTTCTTTCGACTGCTGGCAGACGACTAACCCGTAGGTCTCACTGTTAAAGACCACTAAAAGGCTACATTGCTGAGGTAACTCGATTGCGAATAACAGGGTTAAACGTGTGAAGCTCAAGAAAAGGATCAAGAAATTACACCTCTTCTCAATTCTGTTAACGCCATGGCGTCACCGTTTAATTTTCCTCCACTTTCCAATCTTGAAGTCAGAACTGGCTGTCTGGCTTGCAATGTGCAAAAAATAATTACATTAAATCTCTCCTGTGAAAATGGAGGATGGATTCTGCTCAACTAGGATGCGGACACGCCACCATCATTTGAAGAAACCTGTGGACCTTTAAGTTTGTTTTGTTGAAGTCCGTGATAGTTAGAATCAGAACATTTCAGCCATCCCCCGTAATAAAGCTTAGTTTGAGGGCGTTTTGTACAGGTGTTTTTCGTCAAAGTTATATTATCAGTTGTTTTCAGATAAAGCGGATTCAGGCTCAGTGGTTATGGAAACTTTATGTGATAAAGAGACAACATCTAGAAAAACAACAACAACAGAATCCAGCTGCAGAAGTCAATACTGAACGCGTACTCTGGCACGGTACAAGCATGGATGCAATTCCGTGTATAGCAAAGAATGGTTTCAATCGCAGCTATAGTGGAAAGAATGGTAAGTCCCTATCAATATATTCCACATGTATTGGTTGCACTATTCTTTGGTGGTGATGTTTATTTATAATTGATTGCCTGCAACCCCTGGGTGTTGCACGAGGTGCCTCCATGGAATAAAGTGAGTTATCGTATCCCGAATCTTCATATTGACAACTTTTACTGTATGTGTCGGTATTATGAATTATGCATATACAAAGACAAAAGGTGTTTTCCAGAAAACACAGGGACCTCTTCTTATTTTGAAATATTTGAATGAACGTTTTAAAGGTGCCCTGAATATCATAGACGTTGTTTTCAATTAATTTTCAGCGACCGCATTCGGAAAGGGTGTGTACTTTGCAGTCAGCGCTTCTGTCTCTGACAAGGACAAGTATTCTGAGCCAGACAGTCAGGGTCACAAGCACATGTTCCAGGCCCGAGTCCTCACGGGAAATTACTGTAAGGGACGAATGAAATGAATGTTCCACCGATGATAGATTCGGAGAATCAAACATTCTATGATTCGGTGGTGGATAACACCGAAGCTCCCGTCATGTTCATCATTTTCCATGATGCCCAAGCATATCCAGAATATCTTATCACCTACAACTGATACCCCCAGCATATCTAAAATACCATGTCAGTGACGCCCAACATTATCCAGTATATTATATATATATATATAACGAATAAGGGAACACATGAAAGTACAAGTGTTCCTTTATTCTTTTCAGGTTTCTTCACAAGGTATGTTTTGCACAATGGGTGAAATTCTGGAAATAAATAAAGGAACATGTCTACTTTCATGTGTTGCCTTATTCATTTCCATGAGAATATATTATGCACAAAATAGGGATATTTTGCTTTGAAGTGAAATTGCAGGAATATTTACCTATTCAAGTTATCTATTTGAGTCATTTCTGACAAAAAACTCACTCTCAAACTAGACATGGTTACTGTCATCAAGCGCCTGACCTCAGAGAGTGCGTGTAAGGGGCGATATGCCAGATTTACCATTGTGAGTCTGTTGGTAGCTGATACATACTGATTTGTTCATTAAGTCACCCTCTCAGGAATACCTAGTTACAGTACTGACCATGCGAGGTTTTCAGTGTGTTCTGCAGGTATGCTATAAGTGACCATACGTCCTTGGTGTATTGAACGTGAGCGCGGAGATGTTTTTAATGAATCGATGTTAACTTTCGACTTCCATGATCGATGGCACCGAGTTTGGTGACGTTCGAATGAGCGGACGTCAAGGACGTACAGCATGATTGTTATGGGGTGGATTCATAGTGGTGATTGTTACAGCAGGAATCAGATTATATGAGCTTCGCTACCACCAATTGTTATCACGTTACAGCGCTGCTTAATTAAGATCTATCTATGAGTGTCAAATACAATAGCTGTCAACAAAGAGGAACAAAGGGAATCGAACCCAGGTCTTCGGAAAGACGAGCGAACTCTTTTACCACTGGGCTACCCCAGCGCCCCCTCATCACACCAACCATCATAGCCATTAATCTCACCACCAACTCCCAAGTTGATATGGATCAGATCCGTTTTCCCACTATCCCCTACATTTTGGTCATAGTAAATTGTCATCTGTCAATGATTTACCCCAGTTTATCCAGAATATATTATCACCTACAAATGATACTCAAGCTTATCCAGACTATCTGAACATATATCAAGAATGTCGAAACTGATCTGTATAAGAGCATCAGCAGTTTGACCTACCATCAGTGCTGCCTTCCAGTGTGGCACAGTACGCTCATCTTCTTCACGAAAACCCGGCATCATTTACAAGTGATAGTGATTCATAAGACTAAAGCTTATTGTATAGAATTTTATAATGGACACTGCTTTAAGCATGGATACTTGATGAGTATGTATGAACATGCTTCTTGTATTTATTCAGTAAAGGACCTTTTTAGTAATGTTAATTATCATTTAATCATTGATTTTTTAAAAGAGATAGACTTGTTAAATGAATTTTGATATATGTTTTGTAAATAGATGAGGTTTTATAATTGGTAGTTCAGATTTTTTCAACTTAGATTGTTAGTGGCTGTATCCTGAAAGGGGGTTGAAGTAGCGTAAAATTATTGTCCTCCTGAGAGGGTACGTAATCCCCAAAACTTTCAAAGTAAAGTTAGGCTTGCCACGTTTTTAATCGTAGAATATGTGTGCTTTTAATTTATGGCCAGATTTCTCTTCTGTCGCCAATGGCTGAAGGAATGGTGTAAATCTAACTAGGGTCCATGCAGGTAGCGAAAGTAATGTACGTCCCCATGGTTCCTAGTATGGTGATCTAACTTCAGCTGTTGGCGATCTATAGCCCGTTTTTATATTGTATTGTCTTCTTTAATTGGAATGTTTTAGCTTTGTTCGCTAGTTTTATATTCATATCTGTGATAATCTAGTATTTTTACTGTCCTTCGTCGGCAGGTTTTTATAATATCTATATATATTCTATTTCAATGTCAAATGTTCTCGTCACGATATGGCTGAAATACTGCCGATGTGACGTTACACTTGTATTTATTTGCTTATATCAGCTTGATATGTCCTCACAGTTTTCTTCAGTACAGTAGAAGCCAGTATGTCTAGCAATTTCGCATTACAGTTTCTTTTACTCTCCCATGATAATCGTTAGTATTTAAGATATGTTTATATTGACACTCCTTGTTTCTTGCTTCACAACTACGAACATATGATCCATTCGTACATTTCCACCAGTGTCGATACTGAATATTCTCTGAAGATGGCGAAACGTATTTAGTACGTTTTAGTAAGTCATATTAATACAATAATTCATATACAACAAGACAATAATTGAAATTGTTTAAATATTATCATTTCAAAATGAAGCAAAAACAAGGGCGTTTTTGTTTGGTTGATTAGTGTGGTATTGTGCTCATATGTTCTTACATACATGAGGCCATGTATAAAGACGAAGGACGTCAAATGTGTGTCACAACGTGAATGACATAGAGGTGTTGTTCAGAATATAGGCTAAGACGTGTGTTGCCCGATACATTTTGCCGATTTAATCTGAGCGCTTATTGTCTAGAGCACGCGCTGATTTCCCGCTCTGTTCTACATAATCTTGGCTTAGTCACTGGCTGGATCCGAGGGTGAAGGAGAGACGTTGCGGAGATATGAAGTTTTGGGAATGTTTAGTATTGTGACAATCCCTGGATTGTCTGGCCCAGACTCGATTTGTTTACAAACAACACCATACAGCTGTAATAATGCTGAAACAAATATATGCTCATGATATAGTCACAATTGTACAATCCACTCTGCATTTAGCAGAGATTTCTGATGAATGCGAACAGGGTTTTGTCGCTTCTAGAAAATCGTTGTGCCTTGGTAAAACAGAATTTTCATTTTAATATGAGTTGATGTGTGAGTCAGCCAGCGGATGTGTCTAGGATGTGCAGTAACTAGTTACACATCAATAATCATGCATTAAGAATATAATCATGCAGATATACTGTAACGAAAGGGCAGCAAAATAACCAGACTATTCCAGATTGTTTTGAAGACAAATTTTCTTTCTGTATGGGAGCCACTGGTCCAAATTACAGACATATCGAAGTAACTTCTCTGAACGCAATTTAAAGATGCCAGGAAAATTCAGATTAGGATGTAATTACGTAGTAATCATGTTAGCATGAGGTGGATAAATACGTGCATGGACACTAGTAGTTATACGGTGTTTTAAAGGGGGTACTGTAAGACCTTTGTAAATTCCGTATTTCCTGAGGCGAATTTGAGGTTTTGTTAAACGACATTTGAAATACAGAAACATTTTATTTTTTGGATATATTTATTGACACAAACAAATAAGAAATTATGACAACAATTTTATCACTCTGTTTATACTCATAATTGCATAACTTTAAAATTTCAAAGCGATCAGCCGTTTGGCAGTCACATTCCATCTAAGGTCAAGGTCATTCGTACAACCCGTGTAGTGTGTCACATGACAGATTTGACGGGGGGGTACGGTTCGTACACCCTGGCAAATCCACCTACATGGTTTGGTATGCTTTGGCTATCGACCAGTCAGAATTCGACAAATTTATCTTAAGGGTAATAAGTACACATATTTAGCAAATACACACGTATAAGCAAATACACATCGTAGTAATAATATGTGTTAGTGAACTTGTTTTGTATCTTTTGCTATTAAATTGATATAAACAGAGATCGTGTGGTGTCTGTGGTTCTTGTCTGCTCATTATACTTACTTACTTATAAATGTGTTCACTGCACTGCCAATTATGATATATTTACAAATATACATATTTCTACCAGAGGTATCTTCATGACATACGTAATTATGTATAAGTACTATGCATATTGTCTTATTAAGTCTAAAGTTAGGACATAATGTTAAATGCTATGGCACATCGGTGAATCTTCCTGTGTCTCTATCAGTGTGCCTTCTCTTGTAACCACAATGAAGACAGTTCTACATACCTCCTCCCAATCCGTCATAGAATGCAAAGAGTAACGACGTTGGAGTGAAACCTGACACACAATAAGGCAGGTTACAGGGACAGGTACTCTGGCAAGAAAGACTGAGGTGGCTATCATCGTCCAAAAAAGGGTAAAAGATTGGTTCCGCTCTACAAAGTACCCTTGTAAAGGAGATAAGGAAGTGTAGGTGGGCGTTTGTACTGCGCTGTCATCTCTGTTAAGAAGAAAACTCAAAGTAACATGTGGTGTATTTGAGATTACACTTAGTAAAGTACATATTCCAGTACTTTTGTTGGGTTGATTCCCATCCGGGATTCGAAACCACACCCTCAGAGTCAGGCATCTAATCACCAGCACACATAAGTCAGACGCCTATCCCGCTCAGCCACCGAGGCTTCCACTAAAATGGAAACTATTTTAAAGTTTGATGAATTCACAACTGAAAACAAACTTTTTGGAATACGCAGGACTTATCATGCAATTAAATCGTTCATCCATCGCAAGAAAATAAAACTAAACAAAGTGGAACAACCATTTATTCCATATAATTTAAATGTCTTGTATAAGGGGAAAAAGGGAAGTAAAATATTCTATACTACACTATCCAAATGATACACTTCACAAGGAAAATTAAGTAATCAATTAAAATGGGAACGAGATATCAACGAAATTATCCCAGAAGACCAGTGGAAAATTTATAACTACATACCTTTTAGAGCAACACTTAATACACAACTTCGATGGCTACAATTTAAAATTGTCCGGAGAATTCTGACAACAAATAAAAACTATTGAACTATAATGTTATATCACATTCATTGTGTTCTTTTTGTGATAAGGAATCAGACACCATTATTCATATGTTATATGTTATGAGTGCAAACATATTAAAACGTTGTGGAAGCAATTAACAGATTGGATAGACATTGAAACTGGCACACAATTAGAATTGAACATAAAAGAACATTTCTTTTGGATATAAAGAAAGAAGAAACGACGTCTTAAATCTAATGTTAATGTCCACAAAACAATTCATCTATGCAAACAGATGTTAAAACCTATCCCCACCATAAACGGACTAACGCGCCATCTACATACCTTATATCAGGTAAATAAATATGCAGCATACTCAAGATGACAATACACGGGTTTTTGGTCTTTTTCGTCTTCATCTCATAACCTCTTCATATGATCAATTTAAACTACTCATCAAAACATGTGAAATCCCCTTAACATTAAAGAAAATACTTAATGTTCTTTTTTCATTCGATGTCCGCCAATGTACAAATGAAAATATATTATATACAATACTATATTATATGTACATGTATCTCACACTATTCACTTGACTGCGTCTGTAATCATGTAATACCCTGTACATTTCAAAAAGAAATAAAGTGATGAAAAAAATGGAAGTCGGACAACTGGTAGTCAAGATTAAGGACTTTGTGTACCCCTCTGATATTTAAACCATATATTTCTTCAAAAATAGATAGTGTAAAACCGAATATAGACATGACCTTTGAGAACAATCTATCATATAGGAAAGAAGAGCCACTTTCAGACATTTTTGGGCCAGTTGGCTCTGTAAGGGTGAGCGTTTATCTAGATATGGAGGCAAGCCCTTCACAGCCATCTCAGCGTGAAGGGACTTCATTTCGTTTACGCTCTCCTATTGAGCCCCCATGAGTAGCTCACATAATGTTATACAATGGAATTGCAGACGCCCGAGGAACAATTTTAATGGTCTACAATTATTATCACAAGATTTGAAACCATCAGCGTTTAGTTTAGACCTACCTGAAAAGCAACGATAATCTGACTTTAGTCAGAACAATTCATATCATTCGTTTCACTCCAGGTGATGAATCCTCTGGTGGTGCTTCTATTTTGGTCAGGCAGGGTGTTATTCATAGCCATGTCCCTCTTAAAAGCAATCTTCAGGTTGTTCCTGTCCGCCTTTCTTTACAAATAACCTTCACGCTTAGTTCACTGTACATTTCTCCATCTTCGGCTCTTCAGCAGTCCGATCTTCAGGATCTGTTCGACCAGCTTCCCAGACCCTGTATTATCATGGGTAATCTTATCGGGCACAACCCTTTGTGGGGAAGTACCGATACTAACAATAAAGAGAAAATCCTCGAAGACTTCATTTCTAACAATAATTTATGTTATAATTGGGATTACACTTTCTTAGTAAAGTACAAATTCTAGTAGTTTTTTGGGGTTGAGTCCCATCCGGGATTCGAACCAACACCTTATGAGTCAGGCACCAAATCGCCAGCACACAGCCGCCTAACCCGCTCAGCCAGAACATATGTTGCATTTGACCACTTTCTAAATGGCATTGTGCTATAATAATTTATGCATGTTTAATGATGGATCAGGCACTTATTTACATTCTGCTTTTGGAACTTATTCTGCACTTGTTCTGTCTCTTACAGATCCAAATCTTTATGACGAATTTGAATGGTCAGTCCACGATGACCTGTGTTGACCACCTCCCCACAATAATTTCAGCTATAAACCCGAATGATGATCCATCTGCAACATGATGGAATTTTAATAAGGCTAACTGGCCATTATTTCAGACACTGTGTACTGACAACTTGAAATCTGACCTTTTTGACAGTGTTCTGGATTCAATTATTCAAATTCGGATTCAGGTATTCTCTGATAAATTAAAGAATATCGCTGATGAAACTATACCTAAGTCCTCTGCAATTCACATATTCGTAAAACATGGTTTAATAATGACTGTAAACAGGCCAGAAAGAGTAAGGAGAAACCAGAACAATATTTCCGCCGACATCCTACAGTCCATAATTTAGATAAAGTAAAAATTATAAATGACACGCGTTCGATTCCCCATATGGGTACAATGTGTGAAGCCCATTCCTGGTGTCCCCCACCGTGATATTGCTGGAATATTGCTAAAAGCGGCGTAAAACCAAAATCACTCACTCACTCTTACCTTCCATGAAATGTCACAAGATTGTATGTAAACTACTTTACCATGGCCTTCACCGATGACCTTTCTTGCCTTTCACGAAACATCTACTACGTAACTAACTCATAAGCTTAAGAATGTGAGATTTGTTCAGGTGTTTTTCTTCCGGTAATATATCAATTGCTTCTCCCTATACACATGTTAGGAATAGACATTATTTAGTACGGCAAGGTTATGATTATACCACTACTGCCGCGCATTTGTTGTGGCAAATGTTACGTGCACCGGTGCAGCCTAGATATGGCGAAATCTCTGTCATCGTTGATGATTAATACGACTATAACGTTACGCATAACAGTCGCATTGTGTCAGAAAATGTATTACAATGCTTACAATAACCGCCCCTGGGATCTACTCTAAACGAACATAAGGCTTATATGACCGAGACGCATCATAGCTAAAAAATACAGAATATATCAACATGCATGTTTTGTCCCGAAAACACGGGACAATGCGGGTGAACAAAAACAAGAAACAGTCTCTATTTGGATAAGAAATTATCCATGACGATTTCAGTCGACTGCACAAGTGTTGAATTGACTGATGGTTACGCAGTAGCATCTTGCCGTGGCGGGGGCATGGGCGGGAGAGGAGATAGCAGCCGACTGACGAGGAGGGGCAGCCGAGAAAGTGGGAGGGACAGTTTCTGGAGGAGTGGAAGGGTGGAGACTTCTCGTTGGAGAACAAATCCTGCTCGCATGATTATAAACAGTGTCTCTATATTTGTAGCAGCCATATTATTTTCTCTGACTGGACGTGAATTAATACATGTTGTGAGCCAAAGAGCAACCATTCAACGCGGACTTTGTCGTTTGTGAAGGACAGGTGAGTGAGTGAGTTTGGTTTTACGCCGCTTTTTATCAATATTCCAGCAATATCACGGCGGGGGACACCAGAAATGGGACACCAGAAATGTGTCACCATGTGGGGAATCGAACCCTGGTCTTCAGCGTGACGAGCCACCGCGTTAACTACTAGGCTACCCCACCCCGTCAGATCGACACGGCCATACTGAGAGGTTTTCATTTTGATTTCAAAAGTATTTGACAATTATTTCGTTCACACATTTTGACTCACCCGTGAAGATCTGTTTTAGAATGGATTTTCAGCAACCCTTCTCGTAAGAGGAGATTAATGGGATCGGGTGGTCAGGCTCGCTGACTTGGTTGACATATACCATCTAATCCCAGTTGCTTTGTTCGATGCTCATGATGTTGATCACTGGATTGTCACTGGTCACTGGTCCATATTTGATTATGTACAGACAGCCGCCATATAGCTGGGATATTGTTGAGGGCGGCGTTAAACGACAAACAAACTAAACTGATTTCAACATTATTTGACGGGTTCTCAAAACCATGTCCTAACAATGAACTTTTCTCTCCCCACAGAGCAATGACATCTGAACACAGTCCGTGGGTCGACAATCTGCCAAAGGTAATAAATGCCACAACCCCCCTGACATCTGAAGATGAAGAAAATGGTAACCAAATCAACCATGTGCCTCGAACGAAGAAGGCCCTATACGGCATTGGTGATACACCAGGGACGTGCCTGTTGCCTTTGTTTGCCCTTCAGGTAGGCGAACCGTTTACTGTTAACTTTCTCTGCTGTTTAATGCCTCCCTCAGCATTATTCCAGCTACATGACGGCGGTCTGTTAATAATCAGTCCTTGACCAGACAATCCGGAGGTTGACATCGAGCAACGCAATTGGAAGATGGCATGCATCAACCAAGTCAGCGAGCCTGACCACGAGATCGTGGATCTTCGCCGGTCCTGTGTTCTATGTGTACATCTGCGTAGTGTTCAATACTGCGTATTCTATATTACATTCCGTGCTACAGAGGTACGAGTAGGAACACGAAACACACATACGTTAGAGATAGCCATGTGACCGACGCGCCAGTTGCATAATATAGACCCATAAGGGAGGAAATTACCAAACAAGAAGCTCCTCTGGCATATGTTCAGATGTGGCAAAAAAACAACCACATCTTAGTTCATATGAATGTGCCAAACCTCTCGAGTGATGAACTCGTTTAATCATTACTCCCTTCATTATTTTCATATTATGAAAGAAACAAAGTTGACATTTAATGGTACATAATTCATTTATTCCATGGCAAGTGAAGCAAATCAACAACCTTATAATATATTGTAAGAAATTCCATTTGCCGAGAAGAAAGTTCCTGGAATTATTAGATAAAAATGATGAAGGTCGTGTTGGTGGCATACTCGAAACTGTATGAAGCAAAGGGAATAATCCTTTACTGTCTACAGGTATTTGATCACAATAGAATGCGGGTTAGTAGACACAGAAGAGGTTTGATGTTTTGCAGGCAGATTTGTTAAGGTTGCCTCATATATAGTAAAGATTAATGGCTAAACTACTTATCACTTTAACACTAGGACGTCATTAACTGTATTCTGTATGTCGTCTTTCAGTGACAACAATCAACTGTATTTTGTATGTCGTCTTTATGTGACAACAGTCAACTGTATTCTGTATTGGTCATCATACTTGTTTCCTGCAATGCACGTCCAAATTGTTATAGTTTTAAGTCTAAGATACGTGTGTACTAAGACTAACGACAAAAACATATACATAGTTTTAAGCACGTACTCACACTCGTACGTCACTATTTCTAAATTGCAGAATATATGATGAATACTATTAATGCATGCTTCATATGAAGACTCCGTGTTTCGAAGTTAGTCAAGGGAATAGAAATGTTGCCGTTGTAATGGTTACTTTGCATAATAATGATTTATTTCTTCAGGTAATTACTTTTTAACAAACCGTCGGCATTAATTATTACATATTTTTGTAGTTTGTAATCTAGCACAGAAAAGATGGGTGCAAAATAATTGTTAAAACATCAAGCCTCTTCTTTGTCAAGCAGTGTGAATATACGCTAAGACACCTGAACAATTAGGGTGTCTATTGTGTGCGACTGTGATTCATAACCTTTATGTAGTGACTGTTGCAGTGTGTCCACATTCCTTACACTGTGTACATTTAGAGACGCACTTGCATTCCGATTGGCACACTGCAGTTGCATTATACATGTGTCACAAACATAAAAGGAACAAGAATAACATGTCCAATGAGCATATCTAATGCATATTCCAGTTTGATTCAATGGTGGTCCAGTTGTGTCAAGCTACGTAATTTGCATATCCATAGTTCTCTCCCATTGGCACGCCAGACTCCGATAATAAGCGTAACTAATCTAATCACATGCTGAGTATACTTAAATTCTTTGTTAATCAGCCTTAAACCAGTACCCCCATTGGGAGTGTCCTTCCTTCAAAGACTGCTGGTTCATTACAACAGCAGATTCATAAACGATGCACCGAAACTGTCTTGGGCATAACGTGAACAAGAATAATTTAGGCGATTGTCATATCATTTGGATAGTCGATTTCACTAAATACGTAGGAGAAACGGTGATGTCCTTGCTGTAATGGGCCATACGCTGCCCTGCACATCTGGAGTTGTTTCCCCTTACCGTGCCAGGACGGTGATGCCCTTGCTGTAATAGGCCATACGCTGCCCTGCACATCTGGAGTTGTTTCCCCTTACCGTGCCAGGACGGTGATGCCCTTGCTGTAATGGGTCATACGCTGCCCTGCACATCTGGAGTTGTTTCCCCTTACCGTGCCAGGACGGTGATGCCCTTGCTGTAATGATGCCCCTGCTGTAATGGGCCATACGCTGCCCTGCACATCTGGAGTTGTTTCCCCTTACCGTGCCAGGACGGTGATGCCCTTGCTGTAATGGGTCATACGCTGCCCTGCACATCTGGAGTTGTTTCCCCTTACCGTGCCAGGACGGTGATGCCCTTGCTGTAATGGGTCATACGCTGCCCTGCACATCTGGAGTTGTTTCTCCTTACCGTGCCAGGACGGTGATGCCCTTGCTGTAATGGGTCATACGCTGCCCTGCACATCTGGAGTTGTTTCTCCCTTACCGTGCCAGGACGGTGATGCCCTTGCTGTAATGGGTCATACGCTGCCCTGCACGTCTGGAGTTGTTTCCCCTTACCGTGCCAGGACGGTGATGCCCTTGCTGTAATGGGTCATACGCTGCCCTGCACATCTGGAGTTGTTTCTCCTTACCGTGCCAGGACGGTGATGCCCTTGCTGTAATGGGCCGCTGCTGTAATGGGCCATACGCTGCCCTGCACATCTGGAGTTGTTTCCCCTTACCGTGCCAGGACGGTGATGCCCTTGCTGTAATGGGTCATACGCTGCCCTGCACATCTGGAGTTGTTTCTCCTTACCGTGCCAGGACGGTGATGCCCTTGCTGTAATGGGCCATACGCTGCCCTGCACATCTGGAGTTGTTTCTCCTTACCGTGCCAGGACGGTGATGCCCTTGCTGTAATGGGCCATACGCTGCCCTGCACATCTGGAGTTGTTTCTCCTTACCGTGCCAGGACGGTGATGCCCTTGCTGTAATGGGCCATACGCTGCCCTGCACATCTGGAGTTGTTTCTCCTTACCGTGCCAGGACGGTGATGCCCTTGCTGTAATGGGTCATACGCTGCCCTGCATACGCATCTGGAGTTGTTTCTCCTTACCGTGCCAGGACGGTGATGCCCTTGCTGTAATGGGCCATACGCTGCCCTGCACATCTGGAGTTGTTTCTCCTTACCGTGCCAGGACGGTGATGCCCTTGCTGTAATGGGCCATACGCTGCCCTGCACATCTGGAGTTGTTTCCCCTTACCGTGCCAGGACGGTGATGCCCTTGCTGTAATGGGTCATACGCTGCCCTGCACATCTGAGTTGTTTCCCCTTACCGTACCAGGACCGAACATTTGGCGTATCGAATATAGCACCCCTATTGACATTATGGTGTTTTACTGCCTGTCATGTCTGAACTCTTGAATGCCAAAATATTGAAAACGCTTAAGACCCGATGTCATCACTAGTTTTCAGTGACCCAACCATATAATTTCTATTTTGCCCTTTACATCAACTGGAAACGGATGACGCGGGTTTAATGACTCTCAGGGGTTGACTTTCATAGTTACCACAATAATTGATCAATGCTGTTCAAAGCGGCGTTACGTCAATCTCACTTGTTCTATCCAACAAGTAGGACCCAACAGTTAGGAATATAACGTGTGTACGTGTGTACGTGGTCATATCATTCTTCAAATCTCCAAAATACACACCACTTATGAAGCCCCGATATTTCAGCAGACCCCTATATGGCAGTACCAGTGTTAAAAATCATCTCGTTTCAGCAACTGATGACGTGTATTGGTGGAGTAATATCAATCCCTCTGCTTACCTGCACAGTCATTTGTGCAGATGAACTACCAGAGGTAAAGGCTCGGGTTCTCAGTATATCGTTCTTTGTGTGCGGAATCGGGACGATTCTCCAGAACATCCTCGGCGTCAGGTACCTCAAGTTACACACACATCAGCAACATTTTATCCTCACTGTAAATTACAAGGATTTAGGCGAGAAACAGTTCATGGAATGTTAATTTTCAAATAGTTTTGGAGAAAATACCATTGTGCTGGTATCCGGTAGTGTTCATCAAATGTAACTTTGTCACATCTCAAAAACAAGACAAATGAAATTGAAAAGATATTTGTTTTCCATGAATGAAATATTATCACATATATAATTATGGCTTTTGGAACCGGGCTTAATGTGCTTCTGAACATGAAATACTATCAAACTGGCTAAAACCAGAACATGTGTTAAATAGATATTTATTCATGAAGAACGTAGGCATTTCACATATGTTGATGCATATAATACTTGCTACGTGTAGGATAGGCTATACATCTACGCTATAAATCTAGTAGGTATGTACTTCTCGCGCAGTGTTTTATTCCGGTCACAAATCATTGTGGATAAACAGAATTTTTTTCCCTACAACATTTCAGGTTACCAATAATCCAAGGAGCGTCTCCAAATTTTCTGACAGCAATTATCTCCATGATGGCGGCTGACAGGTGGAAGTGTTCAACTGAAAGTAATCTGAAAATCTAAACCTTGAAGTATAGTCCCATGGACATCCTTATAGAGTCCACTGACACCGGGTGTCTTCGCTAATTATCAGCAGCCCGATCATACAGTTTAGATTTTATGCCGGATGGAATCGAAACATTATTCTCTGGCGCTGTCCTTTTATCTTTTAAGTCTGAATGTTCATAATTTCAGCAGAATCATAAGAATGTATGCACATCGGTTTTACGGTGTTTATGTCAGTAGAAGGTCAACCCGAAATTCAGAACAACCACTTGTGTATTAAGCAATGGTATAGTCACAAAATATCATAGTGATGAAATGAGAAGTCTATGATGAAATCCATTCCATTCCTAACAATACTTATTATTATTTCAAATACATTCAGGGCAGAATCTCAGAAGCTAAAGCGCCCAGGACACCGAAGAGTTGATGAATCAAAACACTATTCAACAACATCAACTTGCTCTATGACATAGACAAAAGTGAAAATATCACAACTCATATATGTATGAACAAAGATTACCTGTTCCTTAGTTATCAAACGGCATCTGACCATTACTGTAATTTGTAGAAGCCATCTACCCTGTAATATGTACACATAAAATTATGACGTCACACACACACACACACACACACATATACATTTTCATAGGGACAAACGGAAATGTTTGATGGGTTACTTCGTTCTCAAAAGATAGTTCTACTGTATTCACTATAACACGAACAAGCGCAAGAGTGAACGATAGAATAGCTCATTCAATGGCGTTTTTGAAAAACCCTTAAAGGTTTGTCTCCTTTCCTCGAGACGGTTTTTCTGCCATGTAATGGGATCTCAGTTTCATCATGTCTGCTCGTGATTGTATCGGTGCCACTGATAAATCCGTGCCCTAATTGTGATCATATTGTCTTTAGTTCCTGTATCTCACACAGTCAATGGGACAACTGATCTGCCATGGGTAGTGCGAGTGAGACAGGTAAGATGTCTTCCAAAAATTACCACAACGCCAAACATGCCGTTATATGAAATAGATTATGTCAATATAGTCAACAAATGTTGTCAATGGGTCATATGTATACTATTGTAACATAATGTTGTAGAAAGCGCCAGGAATAAAGTCATAAAATGAATGAATACAATTTCAGCATAATATTTTACAGATCCAAGGTAACCTAATGCTGGCATCTCTGACACAGATTGTGTTGGGGGCAACTGGTGTTGTGGGCTTGTTGCTGAGATTCATTGGGCCTCTGACCATCGCCCCAACTATTGCACTAGTTGGTGTGTCCCTCGCGCCGCTAGCTGGCTCGCTGTGCCAGGACCAATGGGGTGTCAGTATTGGGTAGGAGGTTCTTGGAGACACGTGTATTGGCCTTATATCCGATGCTTCCATTTAGCCTCCTTTCAGCATATCTTTATAGAGACCCATGTGGTTATTTTCCAGATAATACATTCCAGTGCAGTTCAGATATATACTATTTTTGGAAAAGGTTGTTTCTTTGAAACCCGGGACCTTCGTCAGTCACTCGGTTATGCTGTAGTCATGTAATACTATCTGATGGTCAGTTAATGATCGATTGCATCTGTGAATACTGGTTCTCGTCTCAAAATTTACCAAACTTTATGTTGGTTTTCATGTGGCATATTACATGACCGTTTAAAATGTTAACTTACAGAACAATGCTCCTGGTGGTGTGCTTCGCGTTGTTCCCTGGGAAATACCAAATTGCAGTTCCAGCGTATACAAAACAGGAACGGTGCCACATCAATCGTTATCCCCTGTTTCAGCTTATACCTGTAAGTAAATAGATGATCTTTCGGGATTATCGCACAAGTGCAGTTTTTTAAGTTTTGAACTATTCTTCATGTCTGATGATATCATAATAATATCTACCGAACTTTTGTTTGAAATAAGAATCAGGAAAACAAAAGAGAAAAATCAGAATGAATTTCAAAAGGAATTGTGATGGACCGAGTATGACTGACAAGAAAATCTCTTTATCAAGGTCTTGCTATCAATTGCCATCATGTGGATCCTATGTTGTGTGCTGACACAGACAGGCGTGTTTCCTAGCAACAGCACAAACCCTGGTTTCCAGGCCAGGACAGATTCAAGACTCCACGTCGTGAATGATACCTCGTGGTTTAACTTCCCATACCCAGGTACATGTCTTTGAAAAAAATAACAGACCAAAATCTTTCTTTAAACAGAAGTAGGTTAGACTGTCTGTCATGAAAACAAAGTTGGTGAGTTGGGTTTTACGGCGGTTTTACTGGTGACACAAGCAGTGGGGCATCATATGATCATCGGAAGGTCATCTGTTGTGAACAGTTTGCATCGTAGCAATTTTATTTGATAGTGATTCATAAACACATGACTCGTACGAGCGGCTCTTTTTTTCTGTAGAGAAATATTTTTAGTATGGAAAGGGTAATTCTTCCAGATACTATCAAAACTGTGTCTTCTCTCCTATTGTTTGATCAATACTTCAGTGTTATACTTTCTGCTGGCGTACAGAGCATATCATAATTGTGAAATGCATGTATATTTTACAGATTAAAAATAGTATGCAGCAGAGAGGGTTCGGGTTATCCTGGCACAGTCAGGTTGGTAAGGCTCATCATCAGCTCAGGGCCCTTGCCCCCTCTACACGGAGCCCAGACAGCGAATGGTACTTATCCCAGGAAACGCTGCCTAGTCGAACCCAGGAGAATATGTAGACTCCCAAACACTGCAACCTTCTGCATTATGCAGAATGTCAGAAGGCCTGTGCTCCCAGTGGAGAACCCGGGCATTTTCCTGATCTGCGCCAAGACATCAGGGGGCACCAAACCATTTCAAAGGCGACGTGTGCATATATAGCATGTTTTTCCTGAGTCATGTTGCTGTCAAGAGGGACAGAACATTCAATGATAAAAATAAATTCATTGGCTTTATCATAAAGGACAACAACAGGTTTGTTCGCTGGAATTCTTCTGAGGCTGTATATGGGCCTATTCAACAGAAGTTTAAAAGCATGATTTTCCATGACTCCCTGGACATGTTCAGGGTCGTACCACGGATGGACCTCGGAGTCAAAGCAATCGGAGTCTGTAAATTCATTATACAATCGACATTTCATGTTAATATTTTCCTTAAGAATCACATTTAGGCGATTGCGAGTGGGAAGTGGCTGGTCCTGGACAGCAAAAATGAAGCCCTCCGTTTCACATTTAAGACCAGCCGACTTCATCCAGGCAAAGGAGTCGCTTGGATTACTACTGTTCTGTTTCATGCACTGCATGTACACACGATTCAATGGTTTCTCAGAAAGCAACTCTACAAATGACTGACTCGCGCTTAAAATAGAATTCCTTGCTTTCATAATGAGTCTTGTCATGCATCACAAGAGGATCATCCGAAAAATAAATATGTGCAAAATACACGAGAGCGAGAGTGGTGGGCTCTGTTATCAGACAAGATCCTTCTGGACAGACGGCCAAGACTCTGGCTGTCTTGTTTTGTCCAATCAACTACTCCAAAGGAATAGGAAAGAACTGGCACAGCAAATGTATTGGTGGCTTTGACCTTGTTTCGAGCATTTAGCTCTGAGTTCCAGATTCTCTTTAAGCGCACTTTATACTCGGCCCGAAGGTTGTCTTGAATTTGGGCATTCTTGAGCTTGTCTAACTTGGATTCCTAGAGGCCTGATCTTCCAATATCTTACCGATCCATCATAAATTACCTTGCCATGGAGTGCATTACATCGAAGATGTCATGCCAATATCATTAGAAATGGACTTGACAAGGATAACTTGCTCTTTCGAATTGGTATCTCCTTTGGCAAGGAGCTCGATGTCATCTATTTAAAGGAGATCAGTAAGCCGTGTTGGGGTCTGTGCTGAGATGGTAACCTTCCTCTTTATTGAGCAGAAAGCCCAAAGGATTTAAAGATAAACAAAGCAAAAGACTAAAGGAGTCCCCCTGGAATAGTCCCCTTATGTTCGGAATAGATTCCGAAGTCTGCACCTGCCCTTGCGAATACGTTTCAAGTGAGTCGACCAGCAGCACATGAAAGACTTGAGTAAATGAAATAGTCGCTCAGGGAGGTCAACATAATAACGAGACTTCAGAATTCATTCATGACGGACAGTCATATGCAGTTTGTAGTCAATCCAACACATGGAGAGGTTGCGATGATATGTTTTAACGCTTCCAGAATGACTTTTTTGTACAAGAAGTTGATCCTAGCACCCCAAACATCCCTTCCTTGCTGCCTTCTGCCCTCTAAAAATTATATCACTGGAAGAGCAGTAAGACGACACGAAGTTTGTCAAACACCCTGTGAAGATTTATTATTGTGTATTCAAACATATGATAGGGCAGTAGTTTCTTCTTTGGAAAGGAGTAGAGTGCGACCTTTGCAGAACCATGGAGGAACATCGCCCTTGTCCACGAGAGAATTGAAACAGTAAAGTAATGGTGTTTGGACTCAGGGGAACAGTTTCCAAAAATGGTTTGGAATGCCATCAGGCCCCGGAGGTATATTAGATTTGGACTTTTCAGGCAATCTGCTGAGATGTAACAGACAAACAACACAGTTATTTGTCATGCAGTGCATGGAACGGACCCTAGGTGCCTCAAGGTAACAATCACCGGGTTCTGACCACAACTGTTACCAGAACCTTTCATTGCATCCATGGGAGGCCGTTTATCATGCTCAGCATCACCCTTTGTTTTCAGTTGCCTGTAAAAGTGGTTTTCATTATGTCTAAAGAGTGTATACTGTTTGATAAAAGTGTTTTTCTTTTCCATTGTTTCTTTCTTTCAGTCCAAACCTTTATTTTTGCAGTTAGGGAATCAACAATTTGGAGAAGTATCTTTTCTTTCGTTGTTTTGTATTTCAGTTTCAATTTTCCTTTTGCCGTTTTGACATTGGATTCCCTAGTGATCTTAATTTAAGGCACAGCTCAATCTTTGGTGTCTTATTATTAGCATCGGATGTTTTTTCTTTGTGTGAAGTTCCTCCAACGTTCGAGCATTATTAATTCCAGTGACATTACGACGGGTGACATCTGATATCCTCATCAAACGCAGCACCCATGTGGGAAGTTGAACCTGCAGCTTCACCGTGACCACCGAATGCTTCAAATACATTAACTTCTTCATGTTACAGGGCACTTAGGTTGGCCCACTATCAGTGCTGGCGGATATGTGGGGATGTTGGCAGCTACCATCGCCTCCATCATAGAGTCTGTCGGAGACTACTTTGCTGCTGCCCGTGCCTGCGCCGTCCCTCCTCCCCCATCGCATGCTGTAAATAGGGGGATTATGATGGAGGGCCTTGGATGCCTGATAGCCGGCAGTGTTGGTGCTGTGCATGGGATAACATCTTACAGCGAAAACGTTGCAGCTTTAGTTGTAACCAAGGTCTGTGAAACATACCACCTCCGAATATTTAGTGAGTGAGTGAGTAAGTGAGTGAGTGAGTTTGAGGTTACGCCGCCTTTAGCAATATTCCAGCAATATCAACGCGGGGGTCACCAGAAATGGGCTTCACATATATATATATATTGTACCCATGTGGGGAATCGAACCAGGGTCTTCTGCGTGACGAACGAACACTTTAACCACTGCCCTGATTTTAATGGAGAGAAATAAACACTGGGCATTGAAGGATCATTATTAGGAAATGGAAATAGTTCAAGATACCTCTAAGGACTATTCGAAACTAAACATGTAATCTTGCATGGATTGTTTAATCATTTCAAATATCAATTATATATATCATATGTCATATGATATGAACGAGGACATAAAATCATGGTCTATAAATTTCTTTTCTTCTTACATGTATTATTTCACGTAAACCTTTATTAAGGTTGTTAGTAAATATTTAGAATTTGCTTTACATTCCGAATGTATTTATCCAACAAATTTATGCAATCGCACACCTAGTTTGTAAAACATTCACGATCCTTTCACCTTTCGGTTTCTCCTTCTTCCAGGTTGCAAGCAGATCTGTCTTTATCACGGCAGGTGTCATGCTGACTGTGTGTGGCATGCTGGGTAAATTCGGTGCTGTGATCAGCCTCATTCCTACTCCAGTGATTGGTGGCGTGGCCCTAGTGACATTCGGAATGGTGGTCGCTGTCGGTCTGTCTACTCTGCAGTTTGTGGATCTGTCTTCATCGCGCAACCTCATGGTGCTTGGTCTGGCGTTGATGTTGGGCATAATACTGCCACAGTGGGCGAAAAACAACCCCAGAGCTATTGACACAGGTAGGTGGGTGTACGTGAAGGAGACTGTGGAGTGCTTTCAGTTCGTATTCCAACAATACCACGGAAGGTAAACACCTCCCCAGTGTGTTGTTGCACCTCGGGTCAAGGAAGTGTATGGTTAACGCTTCAAATATATGGCGGCGATCTGTAAACAATCGAGTGTGGACCGAACATTCCAGTGACCAACATCATGAGCATCGTTCTATGGAATTTGGATGCGACGACATGTGTCAACCAAGTCAGCGGTTCTCACCACCCGATCCCGTTAGTCGCCTCTTACGACAAGCATGGGTTACTAAAGTCCAATTCTGACCCGGATCTTCACTGAATTACACGCTTCACACTGAATGATAATATACTCATACACCATTGATAGGATAAACGTATATCTCAACAGTACAAAATGATGTTTGTTTTACAGGATTAACACAAAACAAGTAAGTTTAATCAAACCACGTAAGGCCAAAGTTTAACCGCGAAGACATGTCCATTCTTCTTTTGTACTGGGTTCCGACGCCACACAAAACTCCATGCGAGGAGAGATATATTGTTCGGTTCAGCAAATGAAATCATCAATTCCGCGTCTCTAAGATTAACCACAATCCTTAACACAGCCATGGGAGGACTTTATATTTACAGTAAGCATTTCAGACAATGAGAATTTTTACCATGTGTATTCTCAAAACGCAATTGATTTGCTTGACCTTTAGCAATCTCTGAAAGAACCAGGTTCAGTTGTATTATAACATTTCCTTTACCAATATATCACATGACAAACTTACTGGAATACATAATTCCTTCAACCATGGGGCATATGTTATTTTTAGGATGACCGTAGCTGCATGTCATTCCTTAGATTTTTTATGACAATATACACACCCTCATCCGATTTTTTTTCAAGTTCATTTGCTTTTGCAAGTGTTTATAACGTGTGCTGGATATGGGGTATGGTACGTTCACCATTTTTGTTGGTGACAGTATGAGAGTGATAAAGTTGCAATCGTACAATCGACTCTGTCTCTAGTAAAGCTTTGTTTGTAAAGGTTATTATTACTTTTCTCACTTCTAGGTCACGATGAGTTGACCCACATCTTGAACGTCCTTCTTGGATCCCCCATGCTGGTGGGCGGCATGGTTGGGTGCATCCTCGACAACATAGCTCCAGGTAAATTCTAGCACCATCAGGCGTAGAGAATAACATTTTCTCTTATATTCTATTCACGACGAACGGTGAAAGTAGTGAAAACACTGAATGCAAAACAGTTGTTTATCTATTCCAAATAGAAATAACGTCACGTACGATCAGATACATGGGACTGATCTTTATTGCATTCAACATGATAACGTCCACGAATGCGAATCCCAAAGAAAGGATCTTGAAAGATCGCTAGAACACATAGGTCTCTGCCTGTCGTAACGTAACCCACGCCATGGAAACGCCAGCTTTTGGTGGCCGTTAACTCTGGCATACAGTATACCTGAAGGAACTACTGCAGAGTAGGATATTCGGAGGTGGAATATTCCTGTTGTTAAGCTATGTCTAACTTCAAAGAACTGCAGAAGAGATGGTGATGCTGAAATAGTGTTCCAGTAACTAAAGCATCACCTCCCCTCTTCGCACTGTGGAACAGAAGTATAAAAGAAAGTTCCTGTAGCAAAGCTTTCTCTGACTTGCAGGAACTATAAAAACGAACTTGAGCTCCAGTGGAGGTTTCCTGTAACTAAGCGTTGCTTTACTTCCAGGAACTACAGAAGAGAGAGGGATGTTGAAGTGGAGGGAGGAAGGAGTTAGTTGTCAAAAGGATCAGTCTGTTTCACCTGGCGTCACCTCACTGTATGATCTGGCGTTTATTGCAAGGTACCTCCCGAAGGGTCTGAGGTGCAGTTGGCTCCCTGTGTCCCCGGCCTACAACGGAGGATTATGCTGCCGATTTCGAAGAAGACATCAACAACTCTGAGCACAGGTGGGCATATGTCTGTCAACAGTTCCATTGCCTTGTCCAGCTCTCATCATCACCAGTGTTGTCCATAGGAGATGACAAGGCTCTATAATTAAATAATGTATTTTAGTATTTAGATGCATGAAATATAGCTATATATTATCTTTAAGCAGCTGCCAGAATGGAATTGTCCATGAAACATTATGCAGAGAACACAAAAAGCTGGCTTCAGTTTAATCCCACTAAAAGTATATACTATGGGCAGTCATATATATACATTCATTATTGTTCCCTTTTGCTATATATATACTTTCCCTTGAATCAAATGTATCCTAACTGTACAGCAAACTTGTATCTTTTGTGCATTCTCTATCTATAGTCACGATCAGTAGGTATAACATCACGCGGTATGTAGCTGATATAACAATAAATGTGGTTAAGTCGACAGAGGAAACAGCTTAAAGCAACAATTAAGAGTGACTTCATGTAACAATCATTCTCACTCAACTCTGATCCGCACTTTGTCTCAGCAGCAACTTAACTCACTGAGCCGCTGTGCTGACAAACTGCATGACTATTAATGCCCTGGTTTAATGGAGGGTGACATGTAAGACACAGACACATGCTAGAATAGTTTATTCTCGAAACCCACCAGCTGTGGTACATGAGACAATATAAGATTTACAACAATAAATATAATTCAGTGAGTGAGTGAGTTTAGTTTTATCCCACACTCAGCAATATTCCAGCTATATGGCGGCGGTCTGTAAATAATCGAGTCTGGGCCAGACATTCCAGTGATCAACAGCATGAGCATCGTTCTAAGTAACTGGGATACGATGACATGTGTCAACCTAATACATATGTGCAATGGCCCAATCCACTGAAGACGGCGGAATTATTTATTTCAAGAAGAACTAATATATTGCGCAAAATTTACTAATATTATTTCAAAAGGATTAAAAATGTAATTCTGTTTAAAATGTTGTACCCATGTATGTAATATCTGTATTGCTTGATATATTTTCCAAGTGTTTGTGTGTTAACTTTATGAATCAATTAATGTCAATTCTATTCTCTCCGTCTCGTTATTCATTATATTTATGAACCGTGAAGATCCGGGTTATAATATTGATCTTCAGTAACCCATGCTTGTCGTAAGAGGCAACTAACGGGATCATGTGGTCAGGCTCGCTGACTTGGTTGACACATGTCATCGGTTCCCAATTGGGCAGATCGATGCTCATGTTGTTGATCACTGGATTGTCTGGTCCAGTTTCGATTATTTACAGACCGCTGCCATATAGCTGAAATATTGCTGAGCGCGGCGTAAAACTAAACTCACTCACTCACTATTTCCCGTATGGTACCAGGCGACAATACTAAATTAAATAATATACCGGCGCTGGAATATCAACTGATTCAACTATATTATAGCTTTCAATAAAGTCAAATGGAGATGCTATATTTCTTTTCATTTCATTAACAACCATTCTTAAGCTGTTCTAGCAATCGTATGAATCGGCGTTGCTATAAATATCATCAGGAATATCAAAGTCATCATTTCTTTGATTTACTTCATCGTATTCATTTTATTTCTTAAAATAGTTGAAGAAAGTATCGATATCCGTCATAGCTTCATTTTCTGATTGTGAAATATTAAGATTGAAAAGCCTCCATTATTTACAGACCGCTGCCATATAGCTGAAATATTGCTGAGCGCGGCGTAAAACTAAACTCACTCACTCACTATTTCTGAGAATTTCCATTCTATATTTCCGTATATTTCTGTCCATACATTTCTTATCCTTTGCGGATATGTAGAGATTATTACACTTCATTTATTTATTATAAATAACTGACACAAACAACAAAGACAAATATTTCGTTCAATGAATTTAATAAACTCAGAAAACATAGAAAGACAGAAGGAAAATATCACTGTATTAAGTCTCTACATATCCTTCTTTGGTCCTCGGCGGACAGAGGATCTATTATAAGCGGTATTGGTTTTTTTTCTATTTTTCGCTGGATTTAATTGCCGTCTGAATCGTTTAAATTCCTCTCCGAACCATGGTTTATTTTTCTTCGATCGTTTCTTAGTAACATAGCGTTTGTGGGTTCCGAAAGTTTCAGGTGCCGCGTTAGTTAGCGCGTGTGAGATGCTGTCGGTGAGCTTATTCACGATATCCGGGTCGCAGTGACCTACACGCGGTTTACTTGTTCAATTCGATGTTACGAACGATTGATACAGACTTGGATTTATCACACCTTTGGGGCTTTGTACTATGCTGGTAATGTGGTGTAAACTATTTACTTAATTTGGATACAGCAGAAATTTCTACTGATTTCAAGGTAAAGGCGAGGAGGCAATGTACATCTGCATATAAAGGTGAGAATTCCATGACTTCAAGGTCAGTTAATAGGGCAGACATTTCGGTATATTTACATGTTGTTTTTCCGTATCAGTTTATCGTTACCAACTCTACTCTACAATTCGGTCAAATTTGTACAAAAATGATTTTCTTTTTCATGGTCTTGTGTGCCACGTACATTGGGACATGTTTAATTTGTCAAGTATATTTTCAGGGTTAACACATTCATCATATTCGATATTATTTAGGTCAAATTCTTTCAAAATAAATTCATCAAACACCTTATAATCACATATGTTACTAGTTCTTGAATTTAAGTCACCAAGTAGGGTAACATAAGGGCTATTTGGTAGGTGCTTCATAATTGACTGTTCAATTTCATAGAATGTATCAACAGTTGTATATTTAGAACTTTCTGTGGGGTGTAGACAACACCAAGGTACATATATTATTCTATACCAAACAAAGCACCGATGTTCCACATAATCAAGATATGCTGTGCGGATGATAAGGTCGGGTGTATCATCATAGCACCAAAAGCCGGACTATACACCACTGAAATATACGCAAACACAGGAGGAAATACATGCAAGGAAAGCAGTATTATCCAAGCAGACACGTCTTTTTAAGCTGCATTCGCTTTTGCTACCAATATCAGTTACGCCTTGGGTGCACTGATGGGAAACATTGTGAGATGCTTGTTTCGGGTGATTAATGGGTTCAGTGGTGAACAAAAGGTGATGCGCTGCCCCTTTGTCCTCGCAAGTGTCCCTATATATCTATATAGAAAACCCTCTATTTCTCTTGGAGCACAGCCAACTACCCGAGACTAACCAACTCTAATTTCAAAGTCTATTCAGCTCGAACAAGACTACTGTATAAAATATATTTCTGGGAATACTTAACTGGAATATAACCGTGTCTCCTTCCGTTTCCGTTACGCCTTTGCTGTACTAACTTCAAATATTCACGGGGCGGTGGGGTAGCCGAGTGGTTAAAGCGTTGGCTCGTCACGCCGAAGACCCGGGTTCGAATCCCCACATGGGTACAATGTGCGAAGCCCATCTCTGGTGTGCCCCGCCGTGATGTTGCTGGAATATTGCTAAAAGCGGCGTAAAACCAAACTCAGTCAGTCATATATTAATGTTAAATAAATAATGCAAAAGCTTGCGATAACAAACAGTGTCACATCGAATGATTTATTCCGTGAGACATGAAATAAAAAAGAGATTTCATGCCGTATAGTCATTATGTCTGGAGGGTGGCACAGAAGGGAGCCTCGAATGGCGGAGTCGAATTTCAACCTGATGATTTTAACAACTTTTGAGAACTATGATAAGTCTATTTGTTTTGTTGTATGCCGACGACGCATGATGGATTACTTTGATGAATATTGTAAAACATTAAGACTAAATATATATGTATCCAAAGAAATATACTTATATTTGGTGGCTCCTTAAAATATTATAGATACGGTTTCAAATTAGGAAATCATATTTTAGAGAACGCATTTTCTTATAAATACATTCAATTTAGCTGAGAAGGCCACCCAAACTACGTATTAAGCAACGCTTTTTTCTTGTGATTGTCAGTTACGATTATTCGATTGTTTGGTTGCCCCAGTTGTCTATATATATAGCGTTTCGGTAATGATTCATTTTAACATTTCTAAAGGAATTCTAGTCATTAGAAAAAAACACCCCTAAATTCATGGTAATGGGGAGATATCGACTGGAAGTTGGAATTAAATCACGAATGTTACTCTCCTTCTTTTTCATGAAAATCTTCTAAATTTTCTCTCCTCATTTACAAACTACTCTATAATGATACAATCCGTGACACATCTGGCCATAAATAGATTGCCTGTGTTAAGGCCACTTTTACAACATTGCAATGAGTTACATTTGCGCAGTAGATGGAACAGTGAAACAAATGCACGTGCGGTACGTGATGAGCGTTAACTTAGACCAACCCCGCTTGTTCTCGGTGTTTCATGTAATGTGCATACCCCCGTTGTCATACAAACCCATATTAGCGATTTGAATGTATGATCGTTTGTTAAACAACTTTTATCCTAAGTTGAATACAATTCTGAGATTTAAATGTTCAATTGGCAAGGTAAATTTATGAGGATTCGCAATCTTAATTTCACTTTATTTGATTTACTTTTTTGTTTAAAGTGAAATTCATCGGTACGTTTTCACTGCAAACAGCCTATACATTAAGCCGTTTAAATTGGCGATCCACCAACTCAGGTCGCCAAGGGAAATGTCGTACAAGTAAATGCGATAGTCTTTCGACTTTTCTATTTCGACCAGGCTTCTTCGACACATGGCGTCACGAGTGTAAAATATAGATATCAAGACTTTGGCATTAGAAATTGGAGTACCTGTTTCTAAACTTTATTTCTAACCCATCAGTTATTGCAATCTTCTAATGTTCTCCTTTAACAGGGGACTTACACAGTCACCTGCACTAGTGTGTTACATAGCATAGACCTAAGGTAAGACACCCGTTTTTTCTTTGTGTAAAATATACTGAAAGGCAACAGAAACGTCGTAATATTGGAAATGACATTTAAGTATTTGAACCTATTTTTTTTTAAATATACGACGTTTCTTTTGCCGTTCAGTATATATTTGATATACTATTTTCTATATAAAATGTGTAAAGAATTGAGAATTCAAGACAGGTGTCGAGTGTTTGTTAGGAATCTGCTATTATAATGAACCAATAGTCTATAAAGGAAATGTACTTTCATCCCATATGGGGCAACCTTCCAACCAAGAATTCCTAATGTACCCAAGGATGCCCTCAGATTCCTTAGGCTAATCGTACGGCTCTGGTCTGTATAGAGCAGAGAATTCTAGATATGAACAGCAGGTTACGGAGCTTGAAGTAACTGGATTACCGTTGAATCAGACTGGGCTATCCTGTCATGGTATTCTTGTTCGTGTTATGTAAAAGGGATTTGTGTAAATGCAAATGTGTTGCTGCAACCGGAACAATGGTGCGTCTCAATTTCACATAGCATAAACAATGTGGATACGGCAACACCCATCTCATGAATGCTATGAATATATCTTGTAAGAAACAGGAGTTAAGTATTCATGGTTGTCAGTTTCAGTGTACACTGTTTGACAGAACTGCACTCGTAACCTTTTCCATCATCGGATTGTGTAACTACAAACAATGAACATTTATCATAACTGCAACGTTATGCTTATGATTCATATCAGGTAATGTCCGGAGGAAATAAATGACTACTTTGCATATTTACGGCCTGTCTATTCGTCTAGTTCCAGTTCATGTATTCTCCATATCATGTGAATAAATAATGGTAGAAATATTTATGTATTTTATGATGCACAAATACTGAAGTGTGAGTTTACACAAGTGATTAAATTATATTTCTGGTTTAGTTTTGATGATACAGTATTCCCAGAAATTATTGAGAAAGTTGTTTCGGCAAATATCTAATACATGTATATAAACTATAGAAGTTTTCTTACAGTCAAAGTGTCTTGTCAGTACTTTGTGAGACCTCCTTGTCCTGCAATACACGACTGAATGCTCTTATAGGTACACTACTGATCAAAAGTTGTGGGAAATTGTATGACTGCGTATTCCAATATTCGACCACTTCTTTCTTCACATCCTCAATATTTCTAAGTCATTTTTGGTTTATTCTCTTCTTCATTAGTCACACATTCTCAAAAGGGTTAAGATCTGGGCTGTAGCTGGGCCAGTCTAAACCTTGAACATTTTCGTCCGACAACCACTGTTTTGTGTAGCCTGCAGTATGTTTTGGGTCGTTGTCATGGTGGAAAATCCAATTATCTGCATACAGTGTTCGTGCTGTTGGAACGAGGTGATCATTTAAGATGCCAACATATCGTTCCTTTGTCAATTTTCCAAAATACACAAGGGCGTCACTCCACGTGATGGTATCCCACCCCACATGTGAAATTCCAGGCTATGTTTTGGGCGTTGGTAGATAGGTTTCAGGGTATCTTTTGTCCAAATTTTCACACAGTTCGGAAAAAGCCAGACAGAACTTTCATCAGAAAAAATTATTGAAATTTTAGGGATATGTTTAATTGGATTTCATTATCCCAATCTTGATTTTCGTGAGAGTTATCCTCTTTTTTTCAGTGCATCTTTCATCGATGGTGAGGGAATTCTGCGCTTTTTCACCCTTGTTTCTAAAAACAAACGTTAAGTCTTTGTAATTCTTGTCAAAGGGTTTTCACAACATACCAGAGGACTTCCTCTATTAATGATCTCATTTCTGATACCCTCAACGCTTTTCAATTTTCCCCGTACTCACAATCTGACCAATGAGCGGTAGCTCGGCGATCCTTGGTTTCCAGCAGGACAACGACTCTGTTTTGTGCAAGCAACCCCAACTCCTGACGGAATATTCAGTTCTATAGTATGACCAGAAATTATTGAGAATTTTGTTCTGGATATGTTTAATTCTTAAATTCTCAATAATTTCTGGTTGTACTTTCTAGTATAAACAACCTTGACCAGCTAAATCCCATATTGAGTATAAGGAAACAAAGATTTTCTCAAATATTTCTGGGAATACTATACTAAGCAGCAAAAGAAACGTCAGTTTGGAATTTTCCTTCGCAGAAACGGATAACTGTAAACTCATTTCATGTTTTGATTGTATATTTTTGACAACATCTCCAACTTTACCTGAGCAAAGACATTCCTTCCCAAACTGAGAATGGAACCCAGGAAATGGACTCAAAAACGTAACCTGATCTCGGAGATGGTACGGTGTTCTCCATGTTTTTCATGCAACTCATGCTGCACTTGCTGTTCACAAGCACCAGCCCTATAAATGCACCTCCAAACCTGGTTGAAACATTCACATTACAAGGTCAGCAGGATGTCGCGTCTCACGACAGCTCAGAGAAACCAGGCGCTAGGAAGACTTGAAGCTGGCCACACTGCACAAGCCGTTGCCAATCACTTCCAGGTCAACGTTCAGACCTTCTACAGACTGCAGCAACGTTTCCGGCCCACCTACAGGCTGCAGCAACGTTTCCGGCCCACCAACACCACAAATGATCGCCCCGTACTGGCAGACCATATGGGTGACGACAAGACTGCCATGTTGTTCGACAGCATGTACAGAATCCCTTCATGCAGGTATCCGAAACAGCACACCAGACAGTGGGAACACACGGAAGACTAATCAGTACTGATACAGTACGTCGACCTCTTAACAGCGTGAACCTCCATTGCCGTAGACCTTACTGTAGACCTATCCTCACCACTCGTTTTCGGCGTGAACGTCTACAGTTTGCCCTACAACACCAAAATTGGCGATACAGTCAATGGAGAATTGTTCTGTTCACAGATGAGAGTCGGTACTGCGTATCAACTGCAGATGGCAGAACAAGAATATGGCGACGACGTGGCCAGCCTTACTCAGACCATTGTGTTATGGAAAGAGACTCATGGGGAGGTGCAAGCTTCATGGTGTGGGGTGGAGTAGGCCTGAACCAGAGAGTGGGTCCTGTGGTGTTCCAGAACCTTGGTCTTGGGAGAGGAGGCGGCATCACAGCGGTGGGCTACATCGACCAAGCTCTCAGACCCCACGTCATACCACATTTCGCACGTCACCGGAACAACATTTTCCAGCATGATAACGCCCGGGCCCATACTGCCAGATCTACACGGGACTTCCAACAGCAGAACAGTGTCAACATTAAGCAGTGGCCAGCCCTTAGTCCTGATTTAAACCCATCATAACTATAAATCTCATCACCAACTCCCCAGTTGATATGGATCAGATCCGTTTTCCCACCATCCCCTACATTTTGGTCATAGTAAATTGTCATCTGTCAATGATTTACCCCAGTTTATCCAGAATATATTATCACCTACAAATGATACTCAAGCTTATCCAGACTATCTGAACATATATCAAGAATGTCGAAACTGATCTGTATAAGAGCATCAGCAGTTTGACCTATCGTCAGTGCTGCCTTCCAGTGTGGCAGAGTACGCTCATCTTCTTCACGAAAACCCGGCATCATTTACAAGTGATAGTGATTCATAAGACTAAAGCTTATTGTATAGAATTTTATAATGGACACTGCTTTAAGCATGGATACTTGATGAGTATATATGAACATGCTTCTTGTATTTATTTGCTTATATCAGCTTGATATGTCCTCACAAATTTCTGCAAGTACTTCAGTACAATAGGAGAGTGCAGTATGTCTCGCAATTTTGCATTACAGTTTATTTTACTGTCCCATGATAACCGTTAGTATTTTAAGACATGTTTATATTAACACTCTTTGTTTCTTGCTTCACAACTACACATGATCCATTTCCACCAGTGTCGATATTGAATGTTCTCTGAAGATGGCGAAACGTATTTAATACGTTTTAGTAAGTCATATTAATACAATAATTCATATACAAGACAATAATTGAAATTGTTTAAATATTATCATTTTAAAATGAAGCAAAAAACAAGGGCGTTTTTGTTTGGTTGATTAGTGTGTCATTGTGCTCATATGTTCTTACATTACATGAGGCCATGTATAAAAACGAAGGACGTCAAATGTGTGCCACAACGTGAATGACATAGAGGTGTTGTTCAGAATATAGGCTAAGACGTGTGTTGCCCGATAAATTTTGCCGATTTTATCTGAGCTGCTTATTGTCTAGAACACGCGCTGATTTCCCGCTCTGTTCTACATAATCTTGGCTTTAGTCACTGGCTGGATCCGAGGGTGAAGGAGAGACGTTGTGGAGATATGAAGTTTTGAATGTTGAGTATTGTGACAATCCCTGGATTGTCTGGCCCAGACTCGATTTGTTTACAAACAACACCGTACAACTGTAATAATGCTGAAACAAATATATGCTCATGATATAGTCACAATTGTACAATCCACTCTCCATTTAGCAGAGATTTCTGATGAATGCAAACAGGGTTTTGTCGCTTCTAGAAATTCATTGTGCCTTGGTAAAACAGAATGTTAATTTTAATATTATAATAATAATAATAATGGCACTTATATTGCGCTATATCCACGCCATGAAGGTATGCTCAAAGCGCATTGCCTCAAACGATGGAAACAGAGGCAGTTGAGTTCTCCACAGTGGTATGAGTTATGTATCTTTTAGGTATAGTGCTTGAAAAGGTAGGATTTAAGACTGATTTAAAAGTTTCAAGAGATGGAATCAACTTCAGTGATTCGGGTAGAGAGTTCCACAGAGTAGCGGCTGAGACAGAAAAGGATCTGGATCCGAAAGTTTAAGTTTGGTGACAGGCACCCGAAGGAGCTGTTGTTGACTAGAGCGTAGAGTTCTTGAAGGGAGGTATGAGACAGTCAGATCACTCAGATAGGCAGGTCCAGTACCATGGACAGCTTGGTAAGTGAGTGAGAGTATTTTGAAAATGATTCGCTCAGGAATGCGAAGCCAGTGAAGCGAGTTTAGCACTGGTGTGATGTGTGCCTTTATGTTCGTCCGAGTGACCAATCTGGCAGCATAGTTTTGGATGTGCTGCAGACGTCTGATTTGTTGTTTGGTGATTCCATAAAGGAAACTGTTGCAATAGTCTAATCGAGAGAATATCAGAGATCTCACGAGGGAGGCAGCTGCGTCTCTCGTCAGCAAATGTCTGATGGCACTGATGTTCCTCAGGTGGTAATGACTGACCTTGCAGCAGTGGCTCACGTGATCTTCCATGGATATCGAGGAGTCAAGGTACACACCGAGGTTCTTGACAGATGACTTGAAAGTGATGTCAGCTGACCCGATAGACAGATGATCCAAAGTACATTTCCGTAACCTGGATGGAGGTCCAAACAAAATCACCTCCGTTTTGTCTGAATTGAGTTTCAGCTTACTGACATCAGCAATGCACTGTTGCATTGCATGTTTTGCTTCAGATTGACTGGTGGGTGTTGGCTTAAAGCTGTTCTGTACTTGCGAGTCATCTGTATAGAAGTGATGAGGTATATGATGTTCTTCAATACACTGACCTAGAGGTGTTGTATAAAGGGTAAAAGTGCCTTGGCCCCAACACTGATCCTTGTGGTACTCCACAGAATAATCTGGCTGGAGTGGACATCTCATCACCAATTAGGACTGTTTGTGACCTGTTTGTGAGGTACGACCCAAACCACTGAAGCGGTATCCCTGTGATGCCGAAGGTATTCTCGAGACGATGCAATATTATGCTATGATCTATGGTATCAAAGGCGGATGACAAGTCTAGCAATACCAGCATAGCAATATCCCCTCTGTCAACAGACATGTGCACACTATTCATCACACAGTTTAATGCTGTTTCCGTACTGTTGGCCTGTCTATAAGCTTGACTGATACTTGTGAAGTAGATCATTTGAGGTCAGGTGGTACAGCAACTGTCTCTTAACTATTTTCTCTAGGATTTTGGATATGAACGATAGGTTGGAGACTGGCCTATAGTTCTTGAGTAGCTGCGGATCTAAATTTGGCTTCTTCAGAAGGGGTTTGACAATGGCTTTTTTAAAATAATCCGGCACAACACCCGTGGATATACTGACATTGATTATATCTGTGATGGTGGGTAGGAGAACGTCCAGGATCTTCAACATGAACTTTGTGGGTAGTGGATCTAGGCTGCACGATTTTGGTTTGGCCTCGAGGATGGTTTTACGGACTTCATTTTCTGTTACAACCCGGAATGAACTAAACTTGGTGCCCGTGTGTATTGAGGAGATGGTTCGTTGTCCATATCAGAATCAAACTGTTGGCGGATGTTGCTGATCTTGTCCAGAAAGTAGCTGTTAAATTCTGATGCTAGGTGAGCATCTCCACCATGAGGAAGTGCTGCAATTGACTGTTTTCCGAGTAAACCGTGTAGTGGATGTGTGAGTCAGCCAGCGGATGTGTCGTGGATGTGTAGTGACTAGTTACACATCAATAATCATGTATTAAGAATATAATCATGCATATATAGAATACTGTAACGAAAGGGCAGCAAAATAACCAGACTATTCCAGATTGTTTTGAAGACAAATTTTCTTTCTGAATGGAGGCCACTGGTCCAAATTACAGACATATCGAAGTAACTTCCCTGAACGCAATTTATAGATGCCAGGAAAGTTCAGATGAGGATGTAATTAGTAATCATGTTAGCATGAGGTGGACAAATACGTGCATGGACATTACACGGTGTTTTAAAGGGGGTACGGGACTGTAAGACCCTTGTAAATTTCGTATTTCCTAAGGCGAATTTGAGGTTTTGTTAAACGACAAGTGAAATATAGAAACATATTATTTTTTGGATATATTTATTGACACAAACAAATAAGAAATTATGACAATTTTATAACTCTGTTTATACTCATAATTCTATAAACCAACTCCTAAAATTTCGAAGCGATCAGCCGTTTGGCAGCCACATTCCATCCAAGGTCAAGGTCATTCGTACAACCCGTGTAGTCACATGACAGATTTGACGGGGTGTACGGTTCGTACACCCTGGCAAATCCACCTACATGGTTTGGTATGCTTTGGCTATCGACCAATCAGAATTCGACAAATTTATCTTAAGGGTAATAAGTACACGTATTTAGCAAATACACACGTATCAGCAAATACACATCGTAGTAATAATAAAAATGAAGCATAATATGTGTTATTTAACTTGTTTTGTACCTTTTGCTATTAAATTGATATAAACAGAGATCGTGTGGTGTCTGTGGTTCTTGTCTGCTCATTATACTTATAAATGTATTTACTGCACTGCCAATTATGATATATTTTCAAATATACATATTTCTACCAGAGGTATCTTTATGACATACATAATTATATATAAGTACTATGCACATTGTGTCATTAAGTCTAAAGTTAGGACATAATGTTATGGTACGTCAGTGAATCTCCCCTGTGTCTCCATCAGTATGCCTTCTCTTCTCCACAATGATGGCAGTTCGACACACCTCCTCCCCATCCGCCATTGGCTGCACACAACAACGACGTTGGAGTGAAACCTGACACACAATCAGACAGGCTACAGGGACTCTGTACTCCGGCAAGAAAGACAGGTGGCTATCATGGTCCAAAAGGGTAAAAGATTGGTTCCATTCTAAAAGTACCCTTGTAAAGGAGATGAGAAAGCGTAGGTGGGCATTTGTACTGCGCTGTCCTCTCTATTACGCAGAAAGCTCAAAGTAACATGTGATATATTTGAAACTACACTGACTTAGTAAAGTACAGATTCTAGTACTTTTGTTGGGTTGAGTCCCATCCGGGATTCAAACCAACACCCTCAGAGTCAGGCACCTAATCGCCAGCACACAAAGTCAAACGCCTAGCCCGCTCAGCCACCGCGGCTTCCACAAAAATGGAAGTCTGACAACTGGTAGTCAATACCAAGGACTTTGTCTACCCCTCTGATATTTAAACCATATATTTCATCATAAATAAATAGAGTAAAACCAAACAGAGACAGGATCTTTCGGAACAATCTATCATATACAAAGAATAGCCACTCAGACATTTTTGGGCCAGTTGGCTCTGAACAGGGTGAGCGTTTATTGCGAAGAGGAAAAGGGTGACGCTCTCGTTCGTGTCAAGTTCGGGTCAGCTGCCAATCAAGCATTGCAGACACTTGCATGGGATTTCCCAATGCGGTTTAAACTACTTGACATTTATCGGTGGCTTATCGGGCCATACACTCGAGAAGTGTGGTGTTTTGTGATTTGACCAAGACATTTTATGACTGGATTCTGTACCTTCCCTGACCTGTTACTATTTACAGGTTATAATATACTAACGGAAGATGTAACTGTGCATAACACTAACATTGCATAAAATACAAGTCATTTGAAAAGTTATAAAAATAACTATAACTAAACATGAAGCAGAGCACTTTGCATGCAATTTTATGTCACATATCGCGCGTGGCACTTGTACCTTGTGCACAATGAACTTACTCACTTTTTTGCGTGACATTTTACTCCTGAAGTCCACACACCTGATATTGAAAGCCTCTGAATGGTGTGGAAAGCACGTTAATTTCAACCAAAACTGCGCGTACGCCATGTCACGGCTCACAGAAGTGTCTCCGCGCCGTGGGTATGCCTGGGACTGGAATGGCCCAAAATGAAGTGACCAGACATTGTGCTGTCCATCGAAACACGATCTCATCTCCGTGGAGACGCTTTCAATTCAATTCAATTTATTTCGGTAATAGGGGCCATAGGCCCAGAGTACAAACAATCATAGCATTTTGTTTTGGTGGCTCTTAAATAAGAGCGTCAATGGCATAATTATACAAGCAGATACATTGTACAATTGAACAATAATAATTATAGGTTGACAATATGATAATGCAAAAGTTGATAGGGTTAACTCCCTTGCTGTTTGATACAAAATTCTGTCAAGTCATAGCAAATTGTATATGTATATAGTGATGAATGAGCACAGTAATTTGTAATGGTTACAAGTCAAACAATAATTGTAGGTAGACAATATGTTATGTGGAATATGATTGAGTTGTCTCGCTTGCATCAGGTATTGGGGAACTTCTGTCTCACAGCTGAGGCCTTGAATATGTATTCTGCTAATAGTGACTGATTCTCGCACTTCAAGATGTGGATAAAATTCTTTTCGTTGGAGAGATAATGAGGAATATTCAACAGTTGGGATCGAAGATCATGATATTGAGAGCAAGTAATAAGAAAATGAATTTCATCCTCAAGTACGCTACGTTTGTACATAGACAAACAGTTTTTACACACTCTCTCATCTCTAATAATTCCTAACCATCTCCCTGTTTCAATAGCAAGATCATGATTTGTACATCTGAATCTGGTTAGAGCTATTCTATATCTGTCTATTTAAAATATGACTCCATTTCAGATGAAGATTTATACTGGCAATAAAGAGATATTTTGTTGCTTTTCTTAATATTTGCTGACCAATTTTGTGTCCAACTGTCAATAACTCTCTGTTTGAAAATGGTTAAAATAGTGACTTGTCTCCAACTCCTTGGTTTTCCCACACGATACCAAAACCATAAGAAAAGAGCAAACATCTAATAGAAGAGGCCCATGACTTTCTCCCTGCACTGTCCAGACCACAAAGCATTGAATAACATGCTTTTGGATATCTATTACTGGGCATAGCTTGTAGTTTAAACCAAACGTTCAACAATCTGCACATCCGACTGATAAAAAGTGGACACCTGCCAAGTTCTCCATAGATGACTGCATTACTTGTGCTAGATCTGACTGATAAAATCCTTTTGCAAAATTTCAAATGAATGTTCTCTGCACAATACGATTCTTCATAGCCACAGATTTCTGAAGAATAATTAAGTATTGGGACTACCATCCTGTCACACAGAATAAGTATGTCTTTACTTTTCAATTTAAACTTGTTTACAAAATTTAAAAGAAGATACATGGCTTTCTCAGCCTGCTGTGCAAGTGTGTTCCGAGTTAAACTCCATGATAATTTGGAAGTGAAACAGATTCCAAGATACGTATAAGAGCTGACGACTTCGATTTCTTGCGACTTGATATACCATTTTTCACTACTTTTTACAATACCCCCACTTCTGAAAACAATAATTTTCCCAAATAAATTGATTTTCATTCCATATCTGTCACAAAATTCTACTACACAATCAATGTTTTTCTACAATCTTCCAACAGTGTCACTCACGTTAGAAATGTCATCTGCAAACATCAGAGAGGTTATGTTGTCAAATAATTCATTTACAAATGTTCCTTGGCACTTCTTGGCCTTGAGCATGGTTGTCAACTCATTAATGAAGAGAGTGAAGATCAAAGGGCTAATCATACATCCCTGACGGGTGCCAACTGTACAAGTCTGCATGTCTCATATGGAGTAACAAATTCCCGGGCGACGTGACATCCAAAAGGTTTCTGGTAATTATAGATGGAGAATATACCTTTGCTTGCTTGAGCTGCTAAACAGGATTTGGCTTTAGTCCATGACAATTTGGGGGTGAACACAATCCCAAGATATCTGTACATATTCACAACTTCTATTTGTTCACCATTTAAAAACCATTTCTCATAAGAACGGAGAGGACCACCATTTCTAAAAACAATAATTTTTGTTTTGTTCAGATTAACTTTCATTCCTGCATCTGCACAGAATTTTTCAACAATATTAATTTCCTTTTGGAGCTGTAAAGCAGTGTCTGATACAGTTGATACATCATCGGCAAATAATAGCGAAAATACATCAGGAATATGAGTTGATATGAATACACCTCTTCCACCATCTTCCTCCAGCATTTGAGCAAGTTTGTTTATGAATATAATAAAAATCTGCGGACTCAGAGTGCATCCTTGGCGGGTACCAATATTACATTTGAAATAGGGTGATAACCCCGAATCAGTTCTTACACAAGCGCACAGTGTAGAATACATGTTGATAATAAATTTAAGGAATTTTCCCTTTACCCCCTTTTCTATCAAACTCATAAAATGTAATTTATGGTTAATAGAGTCAAATGCCTTGGAAAAGTCAATAAAAAGGCAATAGAACCTTCCATTTTGCTTTGACAGATATTTAGTGACCATAGCTTGAAGGGTGAAGATATGGTCTGTTGTTGAATAATCATGTCTGATTCCAGCTTGTGCCTCTGAAATTGTATCATTATTGTCACACCATTGTTTCAGTCTATTATAAGCAATTGAGGCTAGAACCTTGCTTAAGCAGTTGATCAATGAAATTCCTCTATAATTGTTTGGATCTGTTTTATCACCAGATTTATGCAAAGGGCATATGATGCTTTCCCCCCAACATTTTGGAAAAAATGAACTATCATACAGTTTTTTAAAGAGTTTAGTTAATATAGGTGATATCTAATTCTTAGTAGCTTTAAAGAACTCTGCGACTAATCCATCCGGTCCTGGTGATTTATTATTTTTAATATTTTTCATTTTCATTTAACACACCATCTGGACCAGCAGATGTCCTACCATTGAGATTTCTCAGAGTGAATTCTAGTTCCTGAAAAGTAATTTCACTGCCTAGACCACTATCAAATGTCACCTTTTCTCCCTCTAGACTAATTTCTGCTGCACTATCTGAATACTCCTTCAAAAAGTTTTGGACTTGGTTGTCAAAGTCTCTACCTATATCGAAATAAGTTTCCTGAAGTAAGGTTTTGAAGTAATTGTGCCACTCCTCTGGAGTAATAGAACTGAACTGAGAATTGCATTTTGTAAAAAAATTTGAGTTTCTTCCATAATTCCTTTGTGTCGAGAGTATTGGTTAGCAGAGAATTAGTCACTGAGGAGTTCTGTCGGCTTTCATACAGCCTTTTCTTTTTGCGACATAACGTCTTAAACTTGTTTCTAACAAAACGATATTTTAAAAAGTCCTTATCTATCCCCGTTAAACGAAACTTATCCAACAGATCGTATTTCTCTTTCAGTTGAAAGTTCTAAATCCCACCACGCAGGCTGAGTGATAGAAGATCTGAGATTATTGCGACAAGACATTCCACATTGCACAGCTGAAGATGAAATAACTGAGGTTAGCAAGTGTTGAGCACTATTATTATCTGAACAGCTGATAACATCTTCAAAGGACGGAGCCATGTTGTTAAGATTGCGTGTTAGTTCCTCCTTATATTCACTACACACACTATCTCTCCAACATAGCTTGTCCCACGTGTGTGTGCTGATACAGGTGGGTTGTGAAGAAGATAAAATATTAAGAATTAAAGAACAACATACCGGAAAATGATCTGAATCATCGATTCGTAGGATCTGGAAATTGGAAGCTCTATGAAACATATTTGATGATACCAAAATATAGTCTATCACATTTTTACCAAGGTGGGAGACAAAAGAAAGTCACCATTCTTGTCTAGCTGCGATCGCCGACTAAGCATATGAATTCCAAGACTTCTACACATTGCTCGACCAGAGATCGACCAAATGCATTCACAACTTTATCCTTGGATCTGCGCTTGAGATCGAACCAGTCACAATCATTTTCCACATCAACAAACTTTATTGAATCATCAAATATGAAATCCTGCTTGTCTCCCACTCGAGCATTCAGATCACCAACTAATATCACATCACAAGGCTCATTTTGACTGCACCTTATCTGCCTTATGTTAGAATGTAATTGTTTAACACTATTTAGCTCCGGCTTACATAAGTAAAACTTGGAAATTTCAGGGGATACGTAAACATAACATATGATTAGAGAGTTATGAAAGTGTGCTGGTGCCTTTCTTACATAAAAATATATGCCATCCTTGAAATTCAGATTAATTCGTTTAAAGAAGTGTGCAATTGTTTTCTTAATATAAACACAAATACCGCCTGATCTTCTACCTTTTCCACAGTAGTCTTTCACTAGTGAAAAATGTTCATAGCCTGGGAGAAGATCAGAGAATTCGTCAGTATTGTCACAAAAGGTTTCACGCAAAGTAATAATATCAAAATTACACAAAAAGGATTTCAAAGATTCATTTACAAGTTTCCTCAGTCCACAAACGTTCCATGTTATTATGTTAATTAAGTCAATATTTTCAGTTAAGTTTGTACTCTGGGCCTGGCCACACCCTTATCCATTCATCCAGGTAGGTGGTGGGTCTTTATCCAGAGCAGTAATACAGTCTCTCGTGTTATCAAAAATGAATGATCTGCCATCAACAATTAACTTGTCATGCAGTAAAATTATTTTCGATTTTGCACCACAAGCCTCTCTAGCCCTGTCTATGTAGGGATAGAGTTTTCGTCGTTTCTCTCGGACATCCTGGTTGTAGTCTTCTTTGATAATAACTTTGGAGGTTCCCTCACCTGGCACAGATCCATACCTCTTCCTATGTTCTCGGAAAGCCTGCAACACAGTTTGTTTATGTTTTGAAGACAAATTATTCTTGAAGAACCTGGCACCTTTTTTGCCTAAGCGTGAAGCTCGTTCGATTGTCCTCAAGAGCGTCGGTGATGTCAAGATCGTTTACCACTACCAGGAAATTCCGTACCTTGTTTTCAGTTTCAGACCAAGATTCACCACTGCTTTCTTCTAGACCCTAAATAATTATGTTGTTACGTTTCAATGCATCTTCAAGCTTACCAACTTTGGCCTACAAGGCCTTATTTTCTGTTCT